ATTAACCACACCAAGTTTTTCTAAGAAAACAGTTTTGCTCTTCACTCTTTGCTCTTGTAAAACATAGTAGGGGGTACTCAAGATTCTCATTGAGCACCTTGGGTGTCCTTCAGCTGAAGCCCGATCTTCTGTTCTGTGTTCCACAGGAGGAAAGCCGGATGACATTACTGTCCTGCTGTCCATTGTGGCTGAATACACAGACTAACTTCTCAGGGGAGGCTGCAAATAATCCGTCTTTAACGTCTTCCTGTATTCTATTCTATTGTATTTCCTGCTGGCAGGATTGGGGAGGTATTTTTGCAGCTGAGGATTGCTCTGCTTCCCTTTCCTTCTGCTGGCCATACAGTGGCACCTTATCCCTCCCGGTCCTGGGTCAGCTGTCCCATCGTTGAGCATGCCCTGCCTTAGCCGTCTTACCACTAAAACATGAGATCAGGTGAAGGACAGAAGATCTCTTATTCTTTTCAATAAATTTTGTTTCAAGTTAATGTCACTCCTACATGTTCTTACACTGGGGCAGTTATCCAGGGTTAGATGTCAGTCAGAGACATAAAAACATATGACCTCATAAAATGGCTTGATATCAGTCTCCATGGAAATGGAACACGGGCGGTGAGCATCCATCCCTGAACTATGGTGTGGCTGTAAAGTAAAAAAAGGGTGAGGTGGAAGGTACTGAGAGCAGATTTAGGATAAGGTTGCGGCAGCTGCTTGTGTGGTATTGGATTAAAACTGCATAATTAAATTAGGAAAAAGGGTTATGCCATAGATGCTGACTAAGTACTGTTCTGGCTCCTCTTAGCTGGTTGAGCAAGAGGGAGGGTACATTCAACCTCTGTTAAATGGGGTAGAGGAGGGGAATGGTATTTGATCTGTGTGTTTCTCTCAATCTGTGGTTTTGTAAATATTAATTCCATTGTATGACTGGCCTGTATTAATGAATATTCAAGGAAATTAATTTACTGTACACCTCACAATAATAAGAAATTCAGGGTGTCTGAGTGAGGGTTTGTATGCCTTTTATATATTTTCCCTCCCAATGTAGGGTTGGCTCATAAGTGAAACCTAACATTCATTTATACCACATGCTCTACTGAGATGAGAAGCCTTCTAACCAATGCCTTGTGTGGCTGTAAATGAGTGTATGCACCTTGTTTTTTAATAGATGTAAAGGAATATATATATACATAGATGTATAATGCAAAAAATGCTAGTGTAAGACAATGTGTCATACAAGGGGGTCACAGAAGAATGACAAAGGTTTATTTTTCTGGCTTTTTCTGGTTTGTGTAGTACCTGGGCTGACACGGCTTGTCTCCATTTTCTACAATGTTCTCACGCCTATCTTTAAGAAACTGGTTTTAATAAGGTTATCTGTGTTTATAAAAAGGTTGTTTAAATAGTTGGTCATTTCAGTGAGATTGCTGCTGAAGATGTCTTTATATGTATCACGTAGCTGCAGGTTACTTTTTTAAAATGAACTCCATGTACTATGTACGTGACAGTCCCCCATAAAAAAGGCTAAAAATGCCCCCTTTCATGCTTTTTAAACCATCTTTTAATTGTGTTTGCCAGCTCTGGTCATAAAAGCAGGTCAGGTCAGGTTTCATGCTCTCTTCAGACCGTCATATTATCTGTGCTCTGTGGCCCTTTTAATGATGGATTCTTCTGGGCCTACAGGCTCCAGTAAGTAACACATAAATACCTCCTGATTTATAATGCTATTCTATTCTCTAGTGGGAGGGTTAGACAACCTTTTTTTTCTGAATATTTTTGAGAATATTTCACCATCCCAAAGGGCTTTTTAAATAAGTAAATCAAAGCTACAGTTTTGCTTCTACCTGTAGATGCCCCAGCCCTGTCATATGACCCCTGTGAGTTCATTTCTCATCATATGTGGAGTTAATAAGCAGCAGCTTTGTGCATCCTGGATTAAATCAAAGGCAGTGTAGTGCAAGCTGCCCATAGCACCACAACGGTTGCACAGCACCCCACACGCACACGCACACACACTATGCTGTAGCAGCCAGCTGCCTTAACTTTTGAAGGAAGACAGCTTTCTCTTAGCACAGGAGCTGCATATATTTGTGTGTACAGTACAATGAAAAGGTCAAAGAGAAAATGCTTCTGTAAATGTTTTTTCAAAGCTGTAATATATTACAATAAATGTTCTGGTGAGTTACTGAGATCCTGTGCACACATATATGGCCTAATTTGCTCACCTATACTACCTCTCTCTGTTGGTGTGTTAGCAAGCACATCTCGTGCGAATCTTCTGTGAATGGAAACTCATACGGTGTTTATTTGGGCCTCCTTTCTGTTCAGTGACCCTCACATGGCCCTCAGAGCTAGTGCTCTTCCTGGAGAGTGAGCTCTAATGGGTGAATCCTGGGTGAGGCCATGCCATTCTCTCGCGTTCCATCTACTCCTGTGTAGACATGTCAACCCCAAGCCACACTCAACATTTAGACAGTGTGCTAATCATCTACCATGGCCTGAGACTTTGTTAAACTACATGTTTACATCTGTATGCGTACAGGTCTCCACACACCTCTCAACAAGTCCAGCTATGTGGATGCTGTGGATGGGGATTTCCACAGCTGTACTGGAATTGCTACTACGGTGCTAAATGTTCTGACACTCCTGGCAATATCTTTTATACCTGCTCTAAACACACAGAGAAATATTAAGTATTGTGCAAAAGTTCTGAGAAGTGCTAACCAAGTCCATTAAACACAATTATACAATAGAAACACTTTTGTTAAAATTGTTGCTTAGCAGTTTCAGAGCACATGTTATTTACACACAGAAACCAGATGATCAGCTGAGCTAAATTGATTAACTCTGCAAAGTACTTTAACTCCTTCCTGCAAAGAGGAACTGACCTGAGACATAAAATCAGCAAATAACACTCAATGACAGTTACTGGGTCAGTAATGGTATGTAAGCTGCTAGCTGTACTGGTTAGTAAATTGGCATAGGCGTGGCTGAGCTCCTCTCCTCCATGTTGTCTTCCTCTGTGTCACTGGCACACGCCAGGCTGGTGTGCAGCACATCGCCCTCGTTGGGCCACGGGCTGGACACGGCCCCAAAGAGCAGGGAGTGGAGCTGCAGGGAACCGTGGTAGGTGTGAGGGCAACGAAACGACAACTACAATACCACTGAGCAGAGTGCTTAACCTGAACTGAAATACCCAGCAGTATGGGATAAAAACAATTGCCAGCAAAATAACGGAATGAAGACCAGAAGAACTGTGTGAACACAGGAAGAAATAAAGCAATAGATGGACAAGAACAAAGCTGTAAGAAATTGGCACAGGTTGGGGGAAGCACCTTGGAGAAGGTTGCATGACCTCAGTTTATATGCCTGTGAATCTGGGCTCCACAGCACGTACTGTGGAAAAGTGATCTTCAGCTATGAATTTTGCATTCAGTACTAGTGTGACATTATTGACAGTGCCTCACTTTGACTTGCCTCTGCCTCTGGTTAACAAATGACTGCCTCTCCACCACCGCAGCTTGGGTGTAACGGCTCAGTAGTCCGTGCTAGATGAATGCAGCTGCTATCATTTTTACTGTATAAGTACAGATTACCAACACGAAATGCTTACTCTTACAGCAGCGCTGCGTGTCTTGTAATCAGCTGGCCACGATACACAGAGAAGCTGGAATTTTCTGTTCACTGTGCCCCTTATTGCATCCCTGATGACTGAACACTAATTAAGGTTTAAGGCTTGGCACTGTGATGTGTTCTTTTCAGTTCAGCTGAGGAAGGAAATGACTTGAGTGGCTGGATTGGCCCTTTCTATCTCCACATACTTGACACCCACTGCTGGCCCGTGCTGACACTTTTCTTCCCCTTACCCTGAATGTGGCTGGGTCTGCAGACTCAGGTTCTGCTGCATGGGCCCCGCTGTCTGTTGCTACATGCAGGCCAAAGTACTCCAGGTTTCCTGGCCTGCTCAGCACGGGGCTTCCCTGGCTGGAAGGGACCTGCTCCTCTGGGGGCGCGGTGGGGGGGGCATCCTGAGGACGGCTGTAAAGGGGGGTTAGGATGATATCTGCTTAAAACATCATAATCAAAAGCCCTGAAAACACTCTAAGGTCACAATGACCAAGAATAGCGAGCCCCAGTGCACTCGGAAGTCCAACCTTTGTAGCTGAATGTAGTTTAATTCTGACTGTCAAGAACTATAACCAAAGTGTGAGGATCCACCCAAACAGATGAGAAAATAAACCAAACTAAATGCAGACGAGTTAAAAATCCCCAAGGTTTTAAAATCATTAACTTGTTTTTATTTTCCTTAGATTAGTTTAAAAATATTAAACTGAAATTTCTACTAGTGTCAGGCATTTGTACTTAAGCTGCTGGCTGTGAGCTAGTAAGGTGTGTCCTTTCCGTGTCCTCTTGAGCTCGAGCTGTTATACATGTACTAGAAAAACAAACTTCCCACCTTTCCACACCACCTCCTGTACACACACTGGGGGGCATACAAGGACTCCAGGACTGGCTCCGTTCCACAGATAGGCACACACTGTAAGAATGCTGCTGTTGGGTCACTCGCACGTGGCTCCTGCTACAACCCCCCCTATCCCATGGCACGCAGCCCAGCCTACTCCTCGCCTGTTTCTTCCTGACTGTTACAAACTCCACAGCCTCGTCCAGCTGCAACAATATGGAGCTCAGACAGTGTAACACTGTTAGGGGAAAAGGTACACTAGTATTCACTGCCTGTCAGAGTGCAGTAATTATTGTTGTACCGTGGTAACACCTGCTCATAGATATCTGAAATATCTGTAATATGTGTTAATTGTAGGCCTGTACAGTGAACTAAAAACTGGTTTCCACAGTGGAGATTTTAGACCATTTCAACTGGGTGGGGGGTAGACTGCAGCCAGTTGTTCTGTTAGGGGGGGCAGATGCATTTGACCTCAGTGTCCTTGAAGTATTACACTAGATTGCCAGCATTAAGAAGCAAAAGACAATTTTGAAAACTGTTATTTATGCAATGTTTTGCAGTTACATTTATAGTTTTTACAAATATGTAACTCACTCTGATTTCTTGTTTAGATTGTCTTGCTTCCACAAGCTCGATTATTTATTTTTCTGTTGCTAACTTTGCTTTTTACCCACTGAAGCGACCCGACCACCCAGCACCCCAGGAAAATGTGCCTTGTGTTTCGTCTGTTCCCAGCGCACAAAATTTTACCCCACATATATAAATGTAAGTCATAATAGTAATGGATTTGTTTCAGACCCAAGTAGCATATGTGTTTAGGGGGGTCATGCATGTTGTTGTGTGGCATAACCCTCCTCAGCATGGAAGGGGTGGGGTTTACCCAGGTCAGTGATGATATGGATGTGAAAGTGTTTTTAAATTATCACTGGATCATCCTTATTCAGCTAGATCGTATAAAAAGATGCCTGGTGACTATCACAGGACAATCTGCTCAAGATTTTTTATACTGTACTTAAATAGATGAATAATTTCAGCACAAAGTTTATTTAAATAAATGTGACTGTGACTCCCAAGTGCAGAAAACAAATGGGCTTCTTTTAAGAGTAAACCTACTGCTGAGACCTTGTTTTGAATTTTTATTTCTGTCTTTCACCAGCTGTGACCACAACCCCTCCAGCAAAAAAATAAATAAATTTTTATTTAAATGACAACAAACCCAAAGCTAAGCGAACTACTTATCAGGTGCTGTTGGTTTGCAAGCATGAAGGTCACACTACCTTTGTTAGATGTCAGTAAATAAAATGTCAGCTGAAATTCAAGCTACTGGCATCTTGTTTGGGGTGTTCCTCTGCCTTGTGCCCTGTGTTTCCTAGGATAGGATCCAGACTGACTGTGACCCTGTACTGGATAACCATTTGGAAAATGGATGGATGGAATGCAAGCTGCATACCGTGCAGTGGGAGCCTTTAGCAGAAGAAGTTGGCAATGTAAGCAGGGGTGATGTTAAAGCAAGTGGTGGTGTGAAAGCCTAGGGAGTCAACAATCACCTCGGGGCAGCTGGATCCTCGGAGCCCCCAGGCTGGACAGAAACTTCACTCTCAGAGTCAGTCTGGGTGGCCAGCACAACACTGGCCTCCAGCACCATGTTTTCCACACTGAAGCGCACCGGCCTGAAAGGTTTATTGTTTTTAAAAACAGAACATCTCTCTTATGATCATGTGTTTTGCAGTGATATACATGTCTGCAGTGGATTTGACCGAATCAAGATTCTGCATGTCATACAAAATAGTCCAACAACTCCCAGCCATTTAAAAGCCATCAAGTAAAAGAAAAATCACCTTAAAGACCTTCCATTTAAGAGGTCAATAGTATGTTAATAATATAATTAGACATGCATGCAGATGTGCTTGAAAATTTGTGAAAATACTTCACTACTAGTACACGTGGCAAAAGAGCTCAACAGGAGAAATTCATCTGTAGAGCAGGCGAAATGGTTAAAAAAGAGAAAACTATTGAGAAAGGTCAGACTTACTGTCCAGGGTGTCCAAAGTGGACATAAACAGGCAGGCCATGTGATTCTGCAAAAGACAGCAGGCCCTGGAAAGACAAAGATCCCCCTTTTTAATAGAACTAATCATACAAACATGCAGAATAACTCAGAAATGTCACATGGACAGGTCAGGACATGCAAGGGCCTGTATTTCTGACAGCTGTACCCAGGTACCCACTGAAACCTCAAATGAAACTTTAGTATTCATCTGCAAAATGTTTACACATAAACATCTGCTAAGAAATGGTATGGCCTCACTGTTTTGTCCCCAGCTGTGCCCTTCTGTTTATATGCTGTGGCACAAGGGAACAAGCTAACCTGGTTACTTTTTAAGGCCTTAGTGTCGAAGGGTTCAATAAATCTTTATAAAAGGGCAGCCATCAGCACGGCGAGCACTCTACATTATAACCTTGGCAAAACCCCCTCACATACAACTGCACCCGATGACCACTGTTGCTGGAAGGTGTCCCAAGTTATGCAATCCAAGGTCCCTGCTTTGGGACTAGAGGAAGTGGTGCAGTCCCATACATTAAAAATTGCAAATAACAGGGGGAATGCATGTTGTTTTGTGCATTTCTCTGATAGTTTCTGAAAAGGTTGAAAAGAATAGAACCATCTTTACGTACAACAGGTAATGGTCTGTATTCACAGGACTGTCAAAGATCAACAAATACCAAATATGTCAAATAGTGCAAAATATTCAGAACTGACCAAGTAAGAGCTAGATCAGTTAATGGCCTGATGAGTAGGACTGTGGCCTCAAAGCTAAAGGATTTGGGGTTTAAGTGCCACAATGATTCTCCATACAGTATATGGTGTCTGTATATTCACCTTATGTTTGTCTCCTTTCTGTGTGTCTGGTTTCCTCACACAAGTAAAATAATGCAAATTGGTCTTTGAAAGCTTCACTACATATGGGTGTAGTTTGCATTGGTCTGGCAACCTGTCCAGGACTCTCTCAATCTTTTTGGCCTATATTTTCCAGAATTTTGAATTCAGGGAAATTGCCCAGGAAACAGGAAAACTCATTCTGTTCCCATGGTACCCACCAAGTTATGTGGACCTGCTTTGGGTCCAAATTCATGCAAACATGATAGGACTCAGGGTTCTCTGAAACACTGAAGTCCTGGGCCATAAATAAACCCACCATAAAAATTAAATCATGTTGCGGCACTCAGCGGTTCATGTGACAGATAACGGCACCCTTCCAAAAATACTGTCTTACCCTCAGCTCCTTCAGACAGAATGTTATGTCCGAGTCGACTCCTACATGGAAGTAGTCAAATTCCTCAGGGTGAAGGGACATCTCTGTGCTCATGACCTTTATCTGATCTGATTTATTACAAACAAGCCTGCTATACTGAACAGCTTTTTTAAAAATGCTAAATTTCACCATGAAAACTCTTTTAAATTTGTCAGATCACAAATTGCTCCTTGTAATTGGAATAGTTGAAAGCTATTCTTGACAGATTAAAAGAGATACCATTTATCCACTGACAGAAATATAAAGATTTAACAATAAAACCAAACCCCTTTCTTCACAGTAATTCCTCATGGTGACCCTTTTCGGACACACTGAAAGGGTCACTTCCTCTTGAGATGCCGGAAAGTGGATCACCATGTCACCTAGGAGACTGGAAACAGCAAGGGGGAAATGTGGGCTATCCAGGACCATTGCACCTGCTGTAATTTTGCTTTCACAGAGAGTGGAGGTCACTCCAGTCAAGATCACCAGCAGAGGTCTGTGGAGGATCCCGTGCCTAGCACTGTCTGTAGTGCACCATGTGGCACTATATAAAAATAGCAAATGATCATTCCACAAGGTGTGAGGCAACAGTGCAACTCATTGAACCATCCAGTACTTCTGCACCCATTCAAGGGAATTTATTTCAAAATATGCCATCAGTTTCATTTATCTGTGTTCTTGTCATCTATAACAAGAAAACATCTGGAGTATGTTTCAAATCTTGTTTGATTTAAGGCAGTCGAGGCTAAATGGACTTCATCTTTGTTCACCTACATTTAGCCAGGGATGGGAATAAGTCACTCCTTGGTGACACTGAGTCAAGTCTCAAGTCAAAACATTGTAAGTCCAAGTAAAAGTCTCAAGACAGGTGCCCACAAGTCCAAGTCATTCCATCCTTTTTTGCTGTTAAGTCATCGAATTTGTGACTCAAGTCCAAGTTGAGTCGTGAGTCATCTGAGTCCCTACCTCTGTCAGTTTTTTTTTACCTTTAGTGATTAAAACCTGCTGCAGCAAAAACCCACCACAGTATGTTGTAGGTTAAGTCCTTCATAGGCAGAGATGGGTTGAAAAGACTGTTTCCACTCTGTCATGGTTGTCCTCACATGGTTTTTAAGTCTGTGTACATGCAGGGAATTGTGCATCTTTCCAGCTATCTCAAGGGACCTTGCATTCAATCAAATAAAAATGCAGGCAACAGAGAATTAATATACCCTGAATTTATAAAATTACTATTTTGGTATCCAGAGGGGGGACTATAACCTCTAGTCTTCTTGAGTCATGGGGTCCAAGTTGGGTCCAAGTCTCGAGTCATCTGCCCTCAAGTCGAGTCCAAGTCTTTCCATCAGTTTTACTAAGTTGAAGTCATCAAATTTGTGACTTGAGTTCGAGTCGAGTTGCGAGTCAGTGATTTGAGTCCGCACCTTTGCATTCAGCCCAGTTATCTGGCTAACCAAAAAATCCAGCTTTGTGAAACAGGCCCCTGGTTGTTTTGACTTATTGTTTTGTCATATCTTGTTTTGTTGGTGTTATTGTGTTGTTTTTAATCTTTGTGAGATGACATTGAGTGTCCTGAAAGGTGCCATTAAAAAAAAATATTATTTATTATTAAGTGTAGTTCTCGCTATCTGCATGGAGGTGGCAGAGGTGGATAGTTCAGTCCAGAAAGCAAAAATCCAGACCAAGATTTATTTTCAACCAACCAGCAGAGTACTCTGTGACTGTGACTTTTTATGTTCAGCCAATTGAATACTCTCTGACTGTGACTCTTCATACCTAACTGGTTGGTTAAAACAAAATGTTAGTCTGGATTTTTACTTTCTAGATATTAACTTCCCAGCTCTGGGAGATGGCGATTCTGCATGCTAACCTGGGCTGGGCCTTCAGGACATTAGGACAGAGGTGAGCAGGAAACACAGCCTGGAGCACGTCATGCTCCTGGAAGCCCAGGTTGTAGGTTTTTGTGATGCCTATGCCACAAAGCATAGCCAACTGTAATGACTCTAAGTAAACGCAACAGATTGTGACCAGTTATACTGATGAACAATCTATGGTCTGCTGGGGTTACATTGCCATCTACTGTCTATAGTGTGTAAAACGACATTTTAAGAAATCAAGAGGCAGTGATCGTAAACGTATTTACATTTCACATGTTATAAGCAACACTAAGTCTGTCCTGTGAAGTAATAGTTTTCTTCAAGGAATTACAATTTTTAACTTATAAAAATGTCAAAACAATTTGCATTCTGTCTAGATGGTAACATTCAACATCATCATCATTGTTGCTATCTTTGTTGTCAGATACAGAAGAAATATTTTAATACATTATGCCAAACCAGGCATTTAATGTCCCTACAATATGCCTAATGTCCACTTACCATGCTTGCAAAAAAGTTGGAAAGTGACTTGGGTGTCTGAAAGGCCAGTGGATATTTTACAGCTGTCCACGCTGCGCTCGATGGAAGCTGAGCAGCGGAATAATGGCAGAACAGACTAAAAAAAATAAATAAAAACACAAATTTTGTCTAAGCATAGATTAGTCTGTGCTTAGAGTTTTTATTGCTCTTAAATAGTCATAGCAGTGATTCAATATGATAAAGGAAAAGTGTTTTATAAAAGCATGGGAGTACTTTGAATACTTTGAATAGAGGTTGTCAATGGTGTAGATTTCGGTATGAACAAGAGGGCCATGTCCCTACCAAGATAACGGGAGTACAGGGGCCCTAAAAAATTGGGAACATAATTGGAGCCCCATAGTCTTTAGCAGAACCCCTGCATGTGTGCTTAGGGAGGTGAAGGGTCAGGGCTAATTTAGCCCCTAACAAATCTATGCCCTTGGAGCCTCTTAAACCAAAATCTATTTTTAGTGTATAGTAAAGCATTTTATTGTTAAGCTAAATGCAGCTATCTGTGGTTAAGGTCACACAAAGTAAATGTTAACAAAGCTACTGATGTCTCATACTGGAGCCTCCCTGCTCACACCTTAACTGGCAGCTTGCATCTTCCCAGTGCTGCCTGCGGTGAACTGATGTTCAAACTGTACAGCTGGAAAAAGAGCCGTGTGAAGAGGAAGCAGCCGTAGGAGGAGTGTGCCGGACCGACAGAGCGCACAGCCAGCTGCGGGTGGGGGACACAGCGCTGGTGTTTATTGACCCCACTCAAACAATGCATTATCATTGGGGCCCTGATGTTTAAGAGCCCCTGTTGACCACAAATAGTAACTACATGGGGGGGGGGCTTTTAGAGTAGGACCTGCCCCTGGGGACACATGTCGCTCAACACCGGACTCTCCGATATCTGATAGCATACACTATTTAATCAATATCAGATATGGCTTCTAAATTGTTATTTCCACAGTACTCCTGTGGAACAAAACTGTCCACCGTATCCTATACAGAGGTAGACTGACAATACAGGAGCAGTGTTGGGGAAGATTTGCTGTAAGATTTCTTGTAATCCATTACAGAGGTGAAAAGTTCAGGTTCAAAAAGTACAAATCCAGACCATGGTTTTGTTTTAACCAACCAGTTGAGTACTCATATACTTTGTACTTTCTGGACCTGAACTTTCCACCTCTATCTGTAATGGTAAATGGATTGCATTTATATAATGCATTTTTGCTACTCTTTCGAGCACTCAAAGCACTTTACAGTTATGCCTCACATTCACCCATTCATACACACATTCACACACCGGTGGCAGAGGCTGCCATGCAAGGAGCTCACCAGGAGCAATTTGGGGTTCAGTGTCTTGCTCAAGGACGGTAGCACTACCTCCTGCACCACCATCACTCCAATGTAATGGATTACTTTTGTGTGTAACTTCCCCAACACTGTACAGGAGTCATCAATGACAATGTTATGAACTGGGGAAAATGACACACAAGGACAAAAAGGACAGTGCCACTCGGAAGCCACTCACCCCTTTCTCCAAAGGGTCGAGCCACATTTCATCGCTTATTCGTGACAGCGCATGAATCGCCTTTCCAAATACTGCAAATACGACTGGAATGAGTGACTGTGCTAAATTGATACCATAATACACTTTCAAATATTTCTGAAATATATATAGAAACACCGCCCTTATTAGTGTGTAAGACTTTCATTACCCAAGACATAATGGAATATGCAGAAATTCTGAGTAATAACAGCACAATTAATAAGACTACATTTCATCTAGACCTATGTAGCACGTCTGCCACGGGCAGTTCAATTAGTTCAACAGCGGGTTTACCGAATTATTTAATTTAGGGCCAGGAATCGGGGCTATAATTCTTTCTGAAATACGTCTTCTAATTACAAAATTACCTTTTATACAACTAAAACATAATTAACATGTATAGGCAGTAAACATGCAGTAATCGAGTGATTATTCGTTAGTCCCCTGAGTAATAATCCATTTAGCTAGCTACCTTTCACGTTACTGCCTTCGATGACGCACTTCATCCTCTGAGGTAACTTGGTTAGCAAAGCGCGGCTAATTCAACTCGGCTGTTTCAGCTTAAAAAATATCAGCGATGCGCTGATGGGTCACCTAAAAACTTTCCAGTGAAGAACTTCTAAAACTCTGTAAATGTTATAGTCAGCTGAAAAGCGACAAAAGGCGACATACAGTTTAAAAGTTAGCATGAGCTAGTGCGCGTCCTCGCGCTGGCCACGCTCCCGTTGAATTCTTATCCCATATGTCTCATGCTGTTGTACAAACGATGGAATGCTAGGTTCTTATGGTACTTCATTGTTCGATCACCTGCACTGCTCTCATTAAAGAAAAGTGCTTTTTAGGTGAGATTTTCCTCATCTTTTCTCTCAGCTTTTGCGAGACCTTGCAATATTTTTCCCTTATATTGCAATACAATAGAATTTCTTAATAAATGCAGTGTGTCCGTTCAAATTACATAGGGCACAATAAACGGACTAATACGTATTCATACGTAGACATGTACATTAAAATGTACTTTAAGCAATAAACTATGGAGGACAATGCACACCATTTGATTTTATGTATTTATTAATATTTGCACTGTGTCCATTTTTCTTCATGTTGGTTACATTAAAAGTACAAATGTATTTTAGATTAAATTTATGGTAGGCTGTCTGTAACAATTAAAAATAATCTGTGGCCTTTGGATTGAATAATTTGCCTACCCCAGCTTAATATCTGTAGTCCAGGGTCGCCAACTCTTACGCATCTGGCGTGACACTCAAACTTTCTGACTCTCACGACCACGCAAGAAATCTTACAGCAAATCTATATTATTCCATTATAAACCTAAAATTAGCTACATCAAAAGCTATATTTTGCAAACCTTACAGACTTACAAGGTAATGAAAGTGTTACATGCGTGTAAATGAGTGTGCAGACTTGTCTCGAATTGAAAATCTCACACCAGCCAGCTGATCATAGTTGAAAACCCTGGTATACAGTCCACCATGCAGTGTAATAATATTCAAAATGCTCAGATGACTGTACTTTCCTCTTATCAGGCTTGTGATATCACATGATCTTTGAAATAAATGCAACATCATTATTTAATAACATGTTATGTACAACATTATGAAAACTCATATAATAAACTCTAAGTGTTTTTGAGTATTTCTTCATCATCCTTAATTGAAAGTGAATTCATGTTTTTGTGCAGCAATTCATCATCATTTCTTCCCTCAGAAATGTATGTGCACAATTCTCCTCCTGTAACAGATTTTCAAGGTTAAACACTTCTGCACAAAATAATTGAATTTAAAATGCATTTTGTTCATGCATACTGAAGGAGTACTTGTTTGGTTACTGAATCTTACCTCTTGTGCATGCTTGCATCTTTCCTTTTCTGGACTTTCTTTTATTTGATGCTGAAACGCCAGATGCTGTTCTGGTTAAGAAGTAAGGAGCACACAGGAAGTTAACAGAATCACACACTGTGACTTACAAAGGTCATTGTGCCATTTGTAAGACCTATTGCATCAAGCTTCCCACCTGTTTTCCCTATTGCCAATTTTTGGCAGGGTTACAGTTTTATATTTGCTGGGTTTGGGTTCTCTTCTACAGTCCGGTTCAGATTGCTTTGGTTTAACATGTGTGTTTGTACGAGCGTTCGTGTTTTCTCCAAATTGCTTTCTGCCTATAAAATAAATTCAAATGTCATGTTATTTAAACTGGCTGCGCAGCACAAAATAAATAGATTCCTTTCCAGTACTGAATTGTTGAGAATCAGTGACAGACCTTTGCTGATGCACCTGTGCAGCACATTCAGGTAATGCTGTTTCATGAGAGTCCGCATGTGTACTGTACTGTACACATTTGCAATACTGTAAAGATACTGCTTCTGTCCAGGGGTTAGGCTGGGATGCTGAAATGACACATGGAACATTATATATTACAAGGAGCAGCTTTTGTATTTCTGTTACCATATGAATTTCATCCTGTTATATCTGATTACTAGTGAACTAAATAAATTAAGCTGAGATTTGCACTTTTTTTGTTGCTGTCGAGCCAACAGAGCAGCTGCTGGTGTTTGTATGTGTACCGTTTATAGTGCATTGTCAAGCCGACTGTACTGTTTATCTACAGTAACAGATGTTATACATAAATCCATGGAAACTTTTGATTTTCTAGATCAGGGTTATTCAAATCACGGTCCTCGAGGTCCGAGCACTACTGGTTTTCCAGCCTTCCTTTACCTGTCAGTCAGGTGTGAAGCCTCTGACCAATCAGAATCAGTAATTATTAAACTAACTACCTGGGAGAACTGAAAACAAGGCCTGGATTTAGAATTGAGGTCCAGATTTGAAGAACCCTGTTCTAGATTATAGCAGCACAGATTTGTGGCCAATGATGTACTACTATGTATATAATAGCAGCTATAGCTGTTGTTGACACCTGCAGAAATGGGGCAGCCATCATAGATTTGGGAATATGTATGGCGGTTAGCTGCTGGATCTCAGATGTGGGCTTTGGATTTGGCTTAAAAGGATCCATCCTCTGTGCATTTATACCACACTTCTCATCACTGGACAAGGTGTCAGAGGCTGTGAAGTAAAAAGGAAATATTTACAGAAAAAAAATATCTTTTGACATACTGTGATTCATTTGTGTTCCCTGATTTCAAACAAAAAAATAATTTCTTACTTTTTGCATTACCATTTATCAAACAGCAGAAAGTTATTTTTTTAACAGTAAGTAAATTTAATTGTGCCAGTAAGTGTTTAGTTGTGTACGTGGATAAAAGTGTAACTTGAGTCATAATGGATAATAAATTACGACAAAAAAATAACCTGCAGGTTTTATGTGTACTATATTGAACAATCTCAACACCCCTGAAATCTCACTCGCATAGCAATTCTGTTTTATCTCTAGCAGAAACTGTTATGATAATTCAAATTTTAATTAAATTCAGTTTCATTTGTATAGTGCATTTTCACAACGTTACATTGTCTCAATGCGCTTTACAGCATCCCCACCCAAAGCCCCCAGTGAGCAAGCCAGAGGTGACAGTGGCAAGGAAAAAACTCCCTAGAAGGACGAAAGCTTTGGAGGAACCAATTTGGTTGTTCTAGCAAACAACCAAATAGCAGCCTCATTGCACACAGAATCTCCATTGGGCCCCCTATTCAGGGTACCGAGGGTAACATTACACATTGGTAACAGTACACCAGTATGTCTTCCCCTAACATCCGTTTCAAATTGCACGAAGACTCAATGTAAATGGATGTATTGCATTAAACAAATACTATTGATTGAAACATACCAATATGTTTACATCTGTGTGTACAGTAATGTCCAGCAGACCTGCAAACAGCAATAAGAAGAGAATACAAGATAAAATATATTCTAGTAACTGTGTACAGTATTTTGTTCTTTTTTAAATAATTAAAAACATTCATACTTCTGAATGTCCTATTACATAATACCTTTATTTTTTTTTAAATCGTTAAACCCTATACCATTTGCAATAAATGTTATAGTTAAAATTAATATTAATATAATGCATAAATTTACCATAATGGTCTGTTTGTAGCGTTATGTTTTCATAAAGTTACTGTTCCTACATTTTATGAATACCTGGACGTTCAATTTTATGTCACTACAAGTCACAGATAATTTGACCCATGCTGTGATACCAGATTGCTATCTCACCTTGTTGCTAAGAAGCGGCTGTTGCCTTGCCGGATAAGATGCTGCTCTTTGTATCCTTCGACGAATGTTACTTGTTTTCTCATTATTTGCTGTAAAATCCGTATGTATTTTAAAAAGTCACGCTATACTGCACCGGCATACCGCTTTGTAGGGTTCAGGTGAGCAAAGCAGAGTTCACGTGCGTCCAGTCTCTCCTGCGCATGCGTGCCCCTGGGACACTCAAAACTCGACATTGGATTTGCAATTTTTAAAAATGTGTATTTGTGGTTGTACTTTAAAAAAATCTGTAAATCTTCTTTTCATCTCTTATTCCCCATATATTATTAATCATCGGTTGACATTTTAAAGAGTTGTTGACCCTTCTTTCTCAATTGTAACCTATACGTCGAGATGAATAAACATGTATGCTATATAAGAAACATGTAATGTAAAAGTAGCCGTTTAATTTGTAATAATAGGCTAATCGTGGATATTGATGTACTACATTAGGCTTAACATTGACATGATTTGTGCAATCATATGCAAAATATATACATTTCTGAAATAATTTTGGTGTACAAGATATGACATACTCATAAAAACAACTTGCTGCATAACACATCGTCTTTTCTGAATCACCTCCTTACCCCAATTACAATAGATATGACTGATGGATGGATGGATGGATAGCTGCCACATATTTTACAAAAAAATAATAATTGATTTGTTACCTTTCACATTTCAAGTACGCCTAGTGGAGTTTGCTGTTCATTTAGCACGCTATTAGATCATTGAATTTAAAAATCATTTCCAATGAACGCTACAAACTTTGAGCTTTTTATTCATTTTGCTTGTGAACTGAATGTTTACCACATTTTTCCTATGAAATGCTGTCTTGTACCCCCGCGACCCAAGTTAGGATTCAGCGGTTTCAGAAAATGGATAGATGTTGTCTTGTCAAATAAATGTGTAAACTACACTATAGTGGATCACAAAAAGCTTGTCTATGAATGATGTATTTTAAAGTTAATATTCACAGCAAATGTAGTCCAAAATCCGCCTATCCGTTTTAGTGAGTCACTACAAATCCCTTCTCTGCAAACAGTATGTGGTAGGTGCAAATAGGTTAAAATCGCTATTGTGCCACCTATCGAGCTGTCCGGGTAACTGCACGGCTCAGTTCAGGTGTTTCTCCCCACTTCCTGTTTTCTGGATCATACTTTTTCCGACTCCAATTTCTGACGCGGGGTCAGCTAACCGAACCCATATTACAGCTGAATTATTTACGACAAAAAGGTGAAACTGATCTAGAGTCAGGAGTCCGGGACACTTTAATCTCGGTCTCTTAAAGGGAAGCAGAATTAACTGTACTGACAGCTTTGATTTCGCTGTTAGCTAGCTAGGTAGCAAGTCTGCTAAAAATCCACAGCCAAGATGCCGGTAAGTTCATCTTAATTAAACCAAGCCGGTTATTAAGACGTAATTGGCCTTTTTATGTTAATTACATATGACCAGTATAAGAATTGGGAAAACCGGTTTACTAACTAGATATATCAGTCTTCGTATCTGCAATCCACTGGGTCTGGATAGCTAAGAAAGTAGCAAGGGCGGTAGCATATAAACTGGTCTGGCTAGTTAGCAGTTAGCTCTGTGTATTAAGGGGCTGTAAATAGTGGCTGCAGTTCAGACGGAAGGGATGACAGGCGGTTTTAAAATACCTAGATTGTTGCCTTTGGCTCCATACGTCGATTCGTAAATCGGTTACACAAATGATAAATGGAAAGGCTGCTGTGCTTTTTGTGGAGGCTGAGTGGTTTGCTAGGTAATTTATATTTTAATGTATAAACAAAAAAATCATGTCTGTTCAAGTTATGAAATCCGCACGATGACAATCCTTTTGCCAATAAGGTTCATTGTTTTACTAAGGAAACAGTTAAAACTTTATAGTTCGTTTAGCTGGCCGACTAAATCAGTGTTTGTGGATTTCAGGCTTATCATTCAAATCTGATGGATATGAACACTAAACTGGTCGGTAATATGGCCATGCTGCCGCTGAAAACACAGTTTAAGGGTCCCGCTCCCAAAGAGAGTAAGTGCTGTCGAACCATGCAGTTTGTGTGCATGGATACATGAACTTACTGTACGTTAAGCTAACCTTTATGTAAAACTGCTTATTGCCATCGTTTTCCCATTTTATTCCCATTTTCTTCAGTATTTTACGACTTAATTTTTACAAGATTAAGCATTCGTGATTTTAAAAACTGTAAAGTTTTTTAGTAACTTTGACAGTAGAAAAAGTCCGCTGGCTTACTGTTACAGCAAAAGACTCCGACATCATTGATGAAGCTATCTACTACTTTAAAGCCAACGTCTTTTTCAAGAACTACGAAATCAAGGTAAGAAAATTACCACAAAAATACGTGCACATATTGTCAAAAAAGGAAGCTGTATTCTTGATCAGCTGTTTATTAGGCGTATATGTGCCTATGCACAGACGTACTATTTGCTTGTCATGCACGAAATTTGAAGGTATTAAAGTTGTGACACCCCACCCCCCAGAACGAGGCAGACAGAACATTGATCTATGTGACACTATACATCTCAGAATGTCTCAAGAAACTACAGAAGGTAGGTTTGTCTCCAGACGGTGACTTACTAACACTAACGCTGGTCTTCTGTCTGCATTGATGACACAGTAGTTGATAGGTAACATATGTGTACAGTGTTAACCCCACTACTGGGTAAATTGCACTATTAACCACTTTATTCATTGTAATCAGTTCAATTTCCATGTTCTTTTTAATTCATGATTGTTTTTAGAAGTTAACAATAGGTTCTTGTGTTTTGTGCTGAACACAAGTTAACATGTTAATGCTACAATGTAAACCCTTAGTATATTATTCAGTATTATTATAGTAAATTATATTATTAGAATTATGAAGTAATGGTTCAGTTGTAAGCAGATGTAAATATACTTATGCAGTGCAGCACAAAGAACCAGGGAGAAAAGGAGATGTACACTCTAGGCATCACCAACTTTCCCATCCCCGGGGAGCCGGGGTTCCCCCTTAACGCCATGTACGCCAGGCCTGTCGACAAGCAGGAAGAGGGTAAGGGTGCTCTGCCGAGAAATTCTCCTGTAGAAGAACCTTGATTGTGGGGGAGGGGATCTCAGAAAATATGTTCAAGCTCTGGAGAGTCGAGCAGCTGCAAGATGCTGGCGATCAGATTTGGATGTAAGCATCTGATGGAAAACCGTTCCGATGCTCACATTCAGTGTTGCACTTACTGTTTATGGGATGAACAAAGCATGTGATCCCACAGGAACGCCTGCCCTCCAGATGGGTGATATCACACATTGTGTCTGCTGTTGTCTATGCTGACTCCTCTTTACGCTCTATAGAAACCATGAGGGCGTACTTGCAGCAGGTCCGACAAGAGACTGGCCTCAGGCTGTGCGACAAGGTTTTTGACCCCGAGACAGACAAACCCAGCAAGGTGAGAGTTTTGCATAATCTTTCACTTTTTTTTTGTAAGCTGTTAGATGCTGCACAGATATGGATTGATTTAATCTTTTGGAACTGCTGGAAAGCCTACCCGTTTATGCTAGAAAAAAATCCATATGGAAATGTAGAAAATATCCATATGGAATTGATAGATGTCCCATCTTGATAGATCCCCATACTATACCTATTTAAAGAAACTACCATTTGAATTTATCATTTTCTGCTTGCAGACATGACCTTTTAAAAGTAGTTAGGCTTTAAAAGGAAGATTTTTTCTTGTCTTATTCAGTTCAAATATTTTTAATTTTGTGAATGCCATTATTATTATTCAGACTGTTAGAAATGGTTAAAATCAGCATCAGAACATATGAAGCCACTTGACCACTTTTCCACGACCCATGGCTGTGATAGTCCTCAGACAAGGCTGTGGATTTGTAACATAATTTAACCTCAAGTTTGTCACAGGTCATATTGCCATCCATCTTTTAATTTACACCTGGGGATAACATCCACTTGGACAGAGCACATGTGATTTCCTCTGTGGCATCTTAAAATATGAAACTAATTGCTTTCCACGGCTGATAATTCAATTATGTTCTTAAGATAAAACACAAAGTTGTTTATAGCTAGAATATATGCAGACTGATATTTCTAAGTACTTTTGACATCCCGTTTTGTTTCCTGTGTTTCCCCATGCGTCCAGGTAATTTTATGTATGGTCTGCATGTTTAGGTTTTTGTCTTTTTAAAATAAATTTTCCCTTTCAGAAATGACACCTTTTTTAGTGGCTGTATGTCCAATACACTTGTTTGCCACAGTGATACGATTTGTCCCATCAAATCAACCAGGTGACATTGCTGCCCCAGCTGATATCAGATTTATGCACAATGTCTTTTTTTAATCTGGTAACTTCAGACCATATTTTACCCTTGTACTCTTCTTTGAAAAGGGCTTCTTCATTGTATTCAATTTCACTTGAGCTGTATAACCTGAAGCGTCACTGTCACAGTGCTGATCATTCTGCCCTCTCTGTCCCCAGTGGTGGCTTTGCTTTGTGAAGAAACAGTTCATGAACAAAAGCCTGTCGGCACCAGGACAGTAGGCAGCGTCGCGGCGCGTCGTCTTCAAACACGTTCAGGGTTTTTATACAGTTTATGGGTGTCAGAATACTAAGCCTTCAGCCGTGGAAGGTCTATTTATCGTGTCAAGTATGTGCTTAATAAACGGCCAGCAACGTTAACTTTTCAAATGGTGTCTTAATCTTTCATTTTAGATGTTTACCATTTGTCTGAGGTGATTGGTTTTGTAACACTGGCTTAAAGCACCACAGACTGTTAGAGACAGAACACATTTCACATTTTATTGGGGTCAAATTCAATACACATTACACAGGAGTAACAGGATGAGAGATACAAATAAACATACTGGGTAAGACCTTAAAAAAATAAGGGGTACAAATTTGCATGCCAGTGCAACCTGAAACGACGGGCAGCTGAGGAGCAGGTGAGTGCGATTCTTCTCGTATTGCTTCATGGCGTCCGCTATGCTCGGCTCCTGGCGTGTGAGTACAGTGAGCACCGGTCTGTGTAGTGCTGTGGTCAAGGGGAAGCACTAAACCTACACCAAACCCATTCTGCTAAAGCTAGCTCTACCGGAAACGACCCTCGCTAAGTGAGCAGGTTAAATTTAAAGCTCCTTCCTTTGGGCCTTGGACTACAGAAGCATTAGATATTTCGTGAACAGGTAAAACCCGGGAAGTTGCCGGACAGTGCGAACACCCCACCAGTGCTTTACAGTCTCACGTGATGCATGCTTAAACAAGGAACCCCCCCTCCCCCAGACAGTAAAATATAATTGGCACATTCAGTAAAAAGGGCTATTCTCCTCACAACCTCATAACAAACCCTTTCTATTGTCCTTACCAAAAGTCGATGACTAGTGCCAACACACACCTCAGGTTCACTGGTCTGCATGCGCTCTGAAGCGGCATGTAGCTGCTCAGCGTGGACCACAGGGAATTTCAAGGCCAGGTCCAGCTAGCCCTGGAGGTGAAAGACATGCACCAGGCACCTGGAAAACACCTGCTGAGCTCCTTCCCCTCAAAAGGCTGCCTGCAGTATGAAACACTTATACGCTGCATAGGCCTGTTTAGGTGAGACTTCTAAATGAACTGTGTGTTACTGAGCTGACCGTGAGCAGGAGGAACAATCCCACATGGAAATGTAACCGCTCTGCCTGAGCGGAGGGGAAGGGGGCACATCCACACAGGCAGGGGATTCACTAAACCCAGCAAAACAGCAGTGAGATGTGGAGGGGAGTGCAGATGCCAGGGTGGTACACGGGGGGACGGGCATCACAGCTGGTTTGATACATTTTTAGGTCATCATAAAACAAGCAGTCAAAAATGAACAGTCCTGTGACAATGACAATCATGTAAATGTATGACCAAAAAAAAAAAAAAAAAAGACTACTTGTTTACGAGAGACAGCATTGTGTAAAACTGTACACAAGGAGGATCGAAGGTGTGGGGGTGGCACTAATGAGCCCCTTAGGAGCAGGTTAAATTCTTGGGACGTTCAGGCTATTTATGAGATGTGTGTCAGGAACAATGGAAACTGGCTTTTATTAATTATAGTCCGATTATGACCAACAAAGAGAACAAATTGCATAAGAAACCTGGTATAAAGTAGAAACATTTCAGCAGCAGATAAAAAAGCAATTAATTTACAGTAGTGACATATCTTACATCAGTCTTCGAAATAAATAAAATTAAATATACACTTCCAGGAAGGAAATCAAAACTTGTTCAACTGGTGGGCATTGCATGTTCATCCATCTAGGAAACAAGACCCTCACTCCCACCCCAACCCCCAGTCAACAGAAGAAGGATGCAAAGGGGTGACCATTTTCCTCAGGAAGTTTTGTTTCCTTAGCTGGGGGGGGAGAAAAACGTATAAAATATTTCCTGATTACAAAAGCAAATATTTAGGACTCGTTAAGCAAAACTAAAGGGTGAATTACATTACTGCTGAATGAGGAGTGAGTGAACACCACCCAGCAGCTGCATTTATTCACACGTCAAATTCAAGAAGGAGCACTGAATAGCAGAACCCCCCCACGATGTCATCAGAGGATCACCGGGTCACAAGTCCGCTTCCCAGGCCACTACCGACTTTGAACATAAAATTAGAACAAGTCTTCACAGTGCTTAAGACACTGGTCTCCTGTGCATCCAGGCATAAATCTTGAAACGTACCATAAAAGCTGTTCTCGTACCCTTTTTACTGGGATTACGTGGCACTGATTAACACTAAATGTTGCGATTCAGCCATGGCTTACCCTGGATGCTCCGGTAACAGCAGTGCCGGCCTAGTCGAATGCCATCTCTTGACTTTTCCTTACACAACGGGCCACCTTCCTCTTGAACTCGCCATTGGGGTCCTCCCTCCACTCTTTCTGCAAGACCCAACAGAACCATTTACCCAAAGGCCTTCACAGTGCCGAGAGAAAGAGAGAGTCCCAAATTAGGTCAGGGGGAAATTATTAGCTCAGGCAAACTCTGAAGTGCTCAGGTAGAACAAATTTCTTGACATACCACAAACCCCTGGGAGTAGAAGCGACCATCCCGTCAACTATTCAAATCCCAAAGCTGCCATCGCTGTTCAATTACGATATAGTCCAGAATGCTTTTTAGCCATTAAACCACAAAGAGTTCCAGTTGTCTTGGTGGGACCATTTAGCCTCATGATTAGCTGAATTAGCTGGAACTAAGAGCGCCAGGGCACAGGCCACCATAACTGAAGGAGCTAAATGCTCCATAATCCACAGTATGGGTGACCATATCAATTCTCAACAGGTCTACCCTAGAGTAATTCCCTTTCAGCCCAATGAACTCATATCAAATTGTAGTTAATCACTGTCATTCACCCCTATTACCCCTCGAAGCACTGCACTGAAACGAATTTCACGAATTTTACGAATGCAACGTCAATCAAGCATATTTGAGGACAGAAAAGACTTCAACAGTCACCGAGTAAACAAAAGGAGAAGTGGCAGTACAACTGATATTAACACTGCCCGGCAGGAGCTGAGCTTCACTCTCTGCATCAGGAGCTAAATGGTATGTGCTTCAGCGGGTTAGGACATTGTTCAAATCCCATAGCTGACAAAGAGATGTCACTGTTGGGTCCCTGAGCAAGGCCCTTAACCCCCAATTGCTCCGGGGAGTCTCTGCCTGTTCTCTCAAAAAAATATCCATAGAAAAAAAGCATCTATTAAATGATGTGTTAAACACCTGCCGAAGAAGGAACCATCCCCCTTGGTCAGAGGACAGTAAGGGAGGGAGGCAGACTCACGGCAGCATCCACGTTAGCGGGCGAGTCGCTGTTGGGGTCTGCTAGCATGGAGATCACGCTGATCATGATGGTCTCCACAGTGTGGATGGGTAGCCAGCGCTCCTCCGGCTTCTCGTAGCCAAACTTGTCCTCTCCCGGCTCGTGCAGAATGGAAATGCACACGTCTCCATTCTTTGCCACTGGTGGGGCAGTCGGTTGCAAAAATAATAACCAGTTAACAAGCCTGAATCTGGAAGACTTGAGGAAATGGATGCAGAAGGTGATCGAGATTCAAGCACACTTTACTGGCTCCAGTTCAATACTATATTGACTAGAGTGGAAAACACGACCACACATGGTAAACAGACGTGCAAGGGGAGAACAGTGAGGAATCCGCATGAAAAATCAGCACAATTTGAGTTCTTACCATTCGGATGCCAGATTTCAGTAATAAACTTCATCTTGGGAGGTCGCAGTGGGTAGTCATAGGGAAAGGTCAGGTAGGCTTTGAAAAAGCCTCCCTCACTTCAGAAAGAAAAAGGAGCACAGGAAAGAATTAAAGCTGATATTTATGCGACCTAAGAGACCAAAAGGACTGCATGCGTGATTATTTTCATTACCAAGAACACGAAGAACAAATAACCAAATATACAAAACACAGGACATCGAGGTCTCCCGCTGATATAACAGGTCAGTAACGGAAGCTTGTCGCTCATCACATCCCCCCCACTTACAACAGTGTGTCCTGCGGGCCTATGATGACAACCTCCCACTTGTAGATGTCGTCATCATCTATGAGGCCAGCAGAAAATCCTTCCACCGGGTTCTTGTTGAGCTCTAATGGTGAAAACACACAGCCACAGGGCACAATAATTTTAGGGGTGGGATACAGGCATCATGAAGCTGAACATGCAGATGGGATAACTGCAGTGACACACAGGCAAAAAATGATAGGCGTCATGTACCTTTGGGGGGGGGGGGGGGGTTGCGCTTAAAGTACGATGTGGAAAGTACAAAATGAGTTATTTAAAATGGCAACAAGTATGAAGAGAAAACCACTGGTGATGGAGGAAGTATGTTCAATATTCACTGCATATGTGAAACGTGTATTTGTGTACATAAATTTTGTATTGCTATTTATTTTTATTGGCTGTTGTAACAAGTAAATTTCCCTGTTGTGGGATCAATGCAGTCTTATCCTATCCTAAGATACCCCCCCTGCAGTGATCACAACCTCACACAGCCAACGCCATCAGAATAATGTCATCGCCTGTCAACTATGAGTTCATACTGCATTGAAGATATTCCACTTTACACCAGGTTTAAAATTGTAATATCACACTAAATATTACAGATGACACATAATATATGCAAAGCTATGTTGCTTCTGGAAAGATCAAGGACTTATGTAGATGAGCGTGCCTGTCCGAGGTAACTGGACATGCTATAAGCAGATGTCAGCTTCTCATATAATGAAGGATCAGACTCCATCTTGGCACTTTCAATTCAGTTTGAGCATGACACACAGTGACACAAACTGGCCCCACCTACTTCGTGTTCTGTTCCCCCCCCCCCAATAGATAGCACGACATTGACGCTACTGGATCACTGGCAGAAGAAAACATTCTGAAATGAGTAATGTATCCCTAAAAGAATGTCATTTTATCACACCCCACTGTATGACACACTGTCATAACTTCTATTCACCAAACCATTCACTCGCCCCACCTAGCTCTCTACACACACATCCTTATGCCAACACTCCTGTTTCTCGGAACATCTACCATTCAACACAGCAGGGATTCTTAAAAATGTCCCCTTATGTACAATAATTAAATATTCTGATTCCTATTTCAGCACCACAAAACTGGTGGTTGAAATAATTACCCACAAAGTCAACTAACCAACAAACCCTTCCTCTGTGAACCAGGTGTGTTGGAATAAAAAAACAGAACATCTATATGGAGGGGCATTCTACCCAGACAGCTCCCCATGTGCTATTCCAGCTCATACACAATTAGCTGTGTACAGCACACTGTAACAAGTACAGTAACACCAGGAACAATGACACAATATTCATCCACATATCAATATAACAGTCCAAATGAAAGCCTTAGTGCCTCCATAATATGCTGAAATCCAATTGTAACATTTGATACTAGGAATAACACACCATTGTATACGTATGACCTGACATTGTTGCATTAACAATGTTCTTTCATTAATATCTTTTTCTCCAAAACTGCTATGTTCATTTGTTATCAGTCACTGGAAGCTCAGCCTAGCTTGTACCTAAACAGGCTTCTTGACGGCTCTGTGCATGTAACATATCTGCCTCACTTGTCTGTTGCTTTGGACAAAAGTGTCAGGCAGATAAATAAACGTAAACACAAGTGGTTGCATTATTCATGCTTGTAACTCACCGTGATGTTCAATAGGGATAAGAGTGTGACCAAAAAGAAAATCTGAGTATCCCACCTGTTTTAATTATACATGTTTTATAGACACAAAATTGAGAAATTATAACATAGTCATCTGAACTGCACAACTTTCATGTCAATGATAAAACAAATATTTTGTGGGGCAGGGGTAAATTATATTTTTTGTTTTTCAGTCATTTCCAGCACAAAAAAAACATACAAGACACATTTTGGACTTCTTAATGGATTTGATCAGAAATAGGATGTTAGAATCGATATGTATTTTGCATGTTAGAAATGCAGCATGGCAAATATTTAGCCATTTGCCTGGTCGTAAGCTGGTGATCTAAGGAGCCGAGTGTATGAGAATGCTATTAAGACAGCTAACCAAGTAACTCACGTCGAGGCAAATAAGACTTTTTCTTTGTTCATCATTAGACGAACAGGCTAATTATAACCATATGTATACGTTCCACTATCGTGTTGCGTAGGGACCTAATTTTAACCCAAAACAGCGCTCGAGGTAGCTGAATAAGATCGTCTCATTACACCGTCAAGAGCCACATCACCGCAGATCTGTATCCTGGATAAATATAGCTATGGATTTTTACATGTTTTTGTTTCTTATGAGACACTAAATTTACTCAAGTATATAAAAAGCTAACAAAAGTTATTCAATGGCTCAGCCCTATAAAATCAATGGATTAACTAGTGCGCTTGAACATACAAGTTGAATAATAACATTAAAACCAAGACAGTAAGTTTGCTAACGTGCTATTAAGAGTGCCTCATAAACTCGATATGCGTTTCGCGCTAGGAGAGAGGTAATGGGGGGTCACTGACCCAAAGCCAAACGGTGTAAACAAACACACGGCTATGGACACTTAATAAGGCGGCGTCCGGCGTCCATACTTTACTATTTTTAACAGCACGACAATTAGCTAGCTACCTTAAGGGCAACGTCCCTTACCTGCCAGTTGTTTTCGGAGAAGCAGCGCTGATTGTTCAGTCATTGTATGTGGGCTAACACAAAAAAAAATACAGTCGCAGTTCTCGCCGAAACGTACTGTGAAATAAATAAAACAAAATGAAATGGACTCCGCCGATTAGCTTTCACTGGCTCCCTGACTGCCCCTGTGTCTGACACATTTAGGGCTCTCAGCTAAAGACCCCCCTGCGCGCATGCGCGGACTTCCCAGGCTGCCCGCAGCAGTGCCTTTTTAAAAATGTTAAACACGGTAAAACTAACACGACACGCGCCAGAATCTAACGTTAAACAAAGAAATTTAATATGTAAGACGTTTTATATTTACTTCTCATATCAGTTTAAAGTTCGTGGGAGGAAACCAAAGTGCCTTTTAGGGCAATTGTAGTATAACATTAAATGTTAGGACCGCCTTTAAGACCCAAAGGCGCCATATTTGATGCGAAATCGTATTTGGACGAAAAGTGTTGTTAGACAGTTAGCTAGCTGACAGTTTGCCAGCGCGTTTCAACTACTTTTTGGGGGGTTTGATCTTGCTCATTCTCAGGAAAATTACCACAGCAGTTTACCATGAATGTAATAGATTATGTTAGGGACATGGCAGCTGCCGGACTACACTCGAACGTCCGGATAATGAGCAGTTTGCTATTGACGATGAGCAACAACAACCCGTAAGTATCCGTGCCAAGGTTTGTTACTGGGATCTCCGGGGACATATCACTTCAATACTATGATAAATCCGTTATTTTCTATATCGAGTCATGCGCAGTTTTGTGGATTTCATGATAGTGTTACGCTGTCTGCTGCTTAAGTTTGCTTGTCTTCTTTTTGGTCTCGACTGCTTTTCTAGTCGATGCATGTTTTTCTGACTGGCTATGAATAACCAAATTTGACATTAATGTTCTCTGTTTGATGTTCTCTCTCTTTTCCAAGACGTAATGGTTTTCATTTTAAGTCAAGATATAGTATTGCAGCCGAATACATCAATTTGATATTTGTTTAGGAAGGCATATAGTTTAGGAAGGCATATTGGTATATAGTTCTACCTAGTAAGTGGTTAAAGGAATGTGATAAATTCAAAAGTACAGCAAAATATCTCACGAAGAGGTACACTTAGCACCGTCTCAAATAAATACTCGATCTTGTTTTTTTTTTTGGAGCGCATTCAGCATTTCTCTACTTGTAGAGGCCATTACGTATGAAAATTGTAACAAACATACTCTTAAGTAACAATGTATGCAGAGGGGGAAAATACCTGGTCCGTTATTTAGTACGGTATTTGAGATGTGAAGTATTCATTACTGCTGCCGTTATAGGAACACCTTGATCTGGGAATCCCTGCTGTGTTGTTTCCTATTGTCAGCCAGCATATGATTTACACCCCTCATGCTGTCCCTGCAGGGAGCTCTTCTCCCCATCACAGAAGTACCAGCTGCTCGTGTACCATGCAGATGCGCTTTTCCACGACAAGGAGTACCGCAATGCTGCCTGCAAGTACAACATGGCCCTGCAGCAGAAGAAGGTGCTGAGCAAGACATCCAAAGTGCGCCCATCCACTGGTGGGACCGCCTCCTCTCTGCAGGCGCAGGTATGCCAGCTGGCCTGATGCTCTGCCCTTCCCTCTGCTCCCTCTGAAGGTGGACCGTCACTTTAATGTTGGCTGCAAAGTGTGCATTTTGCCGTTCTGTGTTCATGATGATGGTGATACGCAACAGCTGGTTATGCTGTACTCAAGGCCTAGAGCCTTCCTGATCCTTGTGAGGACTAAAAAATATACTGTGTTGGTTCTAGAGCCTTCCGTCAGAGATCGAAGTGAAGTATAAAATAGCAGAATGCTACACCATCTTGAAATTGGATAAGGATGCCATCCCCGTGCTTGATGGGATCCCCTCGAGGCAAAGGACCCCCAAGGTATGTTGACTCCCTCACTTCTTTGAATGTTGCGTACCCCACAGTACTGTTAAAGTACCTTTCTTAATTGGCCAAGTCAAGTGGGGCCTTGTCTCACCAACTGTATACAGTAAAACAGCATACAGCACAATGTAATAATGTTACCCATGACTGCAGTGTTACATATACACAAAAAGTGCAGAGATGGACAGTACAAGTGCAAAAAAAATGGTATGACAACATTGACACAATGTAAATGTAATTAATGTTGGAACTTAAGCATTAGGGGAATCAGCAGAGCTGCAAGAAGTGGTATGAATGAGTGGATAAATAAATATCATCAGAGCAATAAAAATGATAAAGGGTTAACAATGGCAATTATGGTGCAAATAGCAATAAAGTGACAGTGCTGGTAGATGGGAGGGTTAATATAAAGTCCAAATCTGTGGGAAGAACCCATTACAGAGTTCATTCTACTTAAGTGCTTGTCAAATACTTTGCCTGTTTCCTTTTTCCTGTTAGTGTTTTTAAATGTTAAAACTTTTGCTTAAGGATCGCTTTAGGTTTCACATTTCCTGTCTTGCCCTTTAGGCAACATAATCATATACAGGTGAGAGTGAAGCTTGGGGTCACACAGCAGGGAGCAGCCATTTATCTGGGCTCGCTCAAGGGCCCAATTGCTGAGCCAAATATTGCAGCTGTCATTTGCCTGTCTCCTCTCAAACCACCAGATCAACATGATGCTGGCCAATCTGTACAGGAAAGCAGGCCAGGAACGCTCAGCAGTGACCAGTTACAAGGAGGTGCTGAGGCAGTGTCCCCTGGCCCTCGACGCCATCATTGGTAGGAGTGGACCGTGGCCTTGATTTGTCTAAAGCCTCCCAATTTTGGTGGGAAAGCTGATTGTGCGCGTCCTTGGCTTGTGTCTGTTGCCAGGGCTGCTGTCTTTGTCGGTGAAGGGAGCCGAAGTGGCTTCCATGACTATGGATGTGATCCAGACCATTCCCAACCTGGACTGGCTCTCGGTGTGGATTAAAGCGCACGCCTTCATACATGCCGGGGACAACCTGCGGGCCATCAACACCATATGGTGACCTAAACCACTCCTGTCTTCTAAGCCACTCTTTATTTTGCTTTTTTTAGTTGCTCAGATTTCCTGTTAATTGAGGTCAGAGCAGACCATAGCCATCTAGAAAGACTATTCATCTTGTTGATAACTGATCTGGAATGGAAGGAGTGTGTTATGTTTTGTGTGTGTGACACAGTACCTGGTCAGTTATTGCCTCTATCTTCTGGATATTTTATCTTAGCCTCAGTCTGTAGATGGACATCATGTTTATGTTTCTTCCACAGCTCTCTAGAGAAGAAATCCCTCCTGCGGGACAACGTGGACCTGCTGGTGACCCTGGCAGACCTCTACTTCCGGGCCGGTGACACCAAGAACTCCATCCTGAAATTCGAGCAGGCTCAGATGTTGGACCCTTACCTTATCAAAGGTATGAGAGCCAAAGGTCAACACAAGTGGTGCAGTGGTAATGGCCAGCAGAGGAACTTAATGAAAAAAGTTCAGTTCAAGCCTGACCTCAGCACATCTGTGGGTCCTTGAGCAAGGCCCTTAACCCCCAGCTCCCTGGGTGCTGCTATGGGTGGCTGCCCTTTGCGGCCAGTTACTCTCACCTACAGAGAGCAAGTTGGGGGAGGCGTAAAGAGAATTTCTCAATGGGGATCAATAAAAAAAAAGTATGAATAATAATAATAATAATAATAATAGTACATTTCAGTCCATAGTGGGACACTGGGATGGGACTTTGTAGTATTTAGGTAGCTGAAAACAGTGTGTGAAGCAGTACATTCAGACAGATCCATATCCTCAGGCATGGACGTGTACGGCTACCTGATGGCACGGGAGGGTCACCTGGAGGACGTCGAGGTGCTGGGAGGGAGGCTGTTCAACATCTCGGACCAGCACGCAGAGCCTTGGGTCATATCAGGGTAAGAGAACAGTTACATTAACCTGGTAAAGACCGTAATGAGTAAATGGACTGTTTGTGACTCCTCCTAGAAAGGTTTTCTTAATAAAAGGTACTTAATCTGAGGGTCTTAAGTAAAAAAAGCCTTTAAGTCACTTAACTGGTAGTTTTTCTGTTTTCTCACTTTAAAGCCCAGAATTTTCTAGGAAATGTGATGTCTAGTCAGATGTACAGTGCTGGCATTTTGCTTTATAGCTCTGAACACACATTAATGTCACTCAATGCAAAGATCCTTTGGTTTTATACAGTTATAGCAGTAAAAAAAAATGTCTGTATTGATGTGTTCAGGTAAATTTCTTATTCTGAGTAATACGTTCAAAAAGATTTGTTACCGCCAGCTGTAAAAGTAATCCAAGGCACTCTACGTCACTGTATCTTTTAAAAACACCCAGCAGTTGGGCTTGCTGAAGGGCGCCCAGAAAGTGTAAGAAGGTGGCACGTCGCAGTGAGCCCGCACCGTATGCGTTCAGTGCCAGTGAGGAGGTGGCACGTCACAGTGAGCCCGTGCCATATGCGTTCAGTGGCAGTGAGGAGGTGGCACGTCACAATGAGCCCGTGCCGTATGCGATCAGTGCCAGTGAGGAGGTGGCACGTCATAGTGAGCCCGCGCTGTATGCGTTTAGTGCCAGTGAGGAGGTGGCACGTGGCAGTGAGCCCGCGCCGTATGCGTTCAGTGCCAGTGAGGAGGTGGCACGTCGCAGTGAGCCCGCGCCGTATGCATTCAGCGCCGGTGTCCAGCCGACTGCCTGAAGCGCTGAACACACGGTGCGACGTGACATTCGGTGACATCACCCACCCCCTGTGGTCTGACCCCGCAGGTGTCACAGCTTCTACAGCAAGCGGTACTCCCGTGCCCTTTACCTGGGTGCCAAGGCCATCCAGCTGAACAGCAACAGCGTGCAGGCCCTGCTCCTGAAGGGGGCAGCGTTGCGTAATATGGGCCGTGTGCAGGAGGCCATCATCCATTTCCGAGAGGCCATACGACTCGCCCCCTGCCGACTCGACTGCTATGAAGGCAAGGCTGCCGTACAGCGCTGGGTTCTTCTGTGTATGTAGTTAGCCATCAGATGGATGTGTCAACACAGTGGGTGTTTTTTTTTTTTTTTGGGGTACTTTTGTGATTTCAGTCCTGGCATGTTTTACGTGTACAAGTGTTTCATTAAGGAGAAAAGTTGGAAGATGACTTGTTCACTTCAAATCCAGCACCGCTTGATGTACTATTTCTGTCCGCAGGTCTCATTGACTGCTATCTGGCCTCTAATGGCATCAGAGAGGCGATGGGCATGGCCAACAATATCTACAAGACACTGGGTGCCAATGCACAGACACTGACCATCCTGGCCACGGTGTGTCTGGAGGACCCCATGACGCAGGAGAAGGCAAAGACACTGCTGGACAAGGCACTGGCCCAGAGGCCTGACTACATCAAGGCTGTGGTCAAGAAGGCGGAGCTTCTGAGTAAGTGAGCGAATGAATGAGATGGCGGGGAGTTGAGGGTTAGGGGGTGAGTGATACTTTGTGGTATGATGAAGATTTAACACCTTCTCTTATCAGGCAGGGAACAGAATTACGAGGAAGGAATCACGCTTTTGCGGCATGCCCTAGCCAATCAGAGTGACTGTGTACTGCATAGGATGCTGGGAGATTTTTTGGTGGCTGTCAATGACTATCAAGAGGCAATGGACCAGTACAGCATCGCACTTAGGTAAACAAAAGCACTTCACTATAATAGAATCATTTCCATTGCAAATTTTCCAAATTGCTGAAATACCTGTTTATGCAATTCATTGTTAATATAATTTTGTGTACATTTTGTCAATTGTCATGAATATTTGTCATGCAAAGTTATGTGCTTCCCTCTTCTGGTGGTCTGGGCTAATTGCAGTTTTGACAGACAACTGCAGTAGTACCACAGAAACACTGGAGTAGTGGTGCATTTTTAAGGACACCCATAATGTTCGTAGTGTTTTTAAGTTTCAGCTTGCAAATGATTTACACCTAGAAAAAAAAAACATCAGAATGAATTTGTAATGAAGCTGATGGTTCATGGGAGTCATAGTTCAGCGTCCATTTTGTTCCCGTGGAAACGGTAAACGTAGTAGTAGTTGCAGTGTGTGTCTTGTGGGGTAATTGGTCCTGATGTCAGCGCATGGTAATGCATATATAAACACAACTTGAGATGGCAGCATTTTCACTGTCTCTAACTGATAACCTTAATGCCGCAGCCTGGACCCCAACGACCAGAAATCTCTGGAGGGTATGCAGAAGATGGAGAAAGAGGAGAGCCCCACGGAGGCCACAGTGGAGGAGGATGGAGACGACATGGAGGGCAGCGCTGATGACGGCGACCTGGAGGGTAGCGACAGCGAGGCGGCGCAGTGGGCCGACCAGGAGCAGTGGTTCGGGATGCAGTGACCCCTGAGCTCCCCCCCACCCCCGAGATACCATCCACTCCTGCAAAGGCAGCCCACGCTTTCTCCTTTATTTTTAATGAATAATCTAGAGGCGTGTTTCCCAACCCGGTCCTTGGGGACCCTCAGTCAGTCCATGTTTTTGCTCCCTCCCAGCTCCCTGGCCAGACAGTCCACATTTCTGTGAGCTGGGAAGAAGCAAAAACATGGACTATCTGTGGGTCCCAGAGGACCAGATTGGGAAATGCTGATCAGGAACTCCCCAAATAAAGCTTTTTGGGGCAGAGTGTGTTCTCCAGCAAGCTGCTCCTAGTTTCCCTCCATCTCTGACTCCTTGGGGGGCCGCAGTCAGCTTCACCTTGGGTGGGGGGCTTTTGTCGCCTGAACATCCTAAGTGGGTGTTGCAGTCGTATTTTTTTCTACTGTTATCCTAACCCCCATGCATTTTTTTTCCACCTGTATGTGTGTAGGTGTGTGTGTGTGTGTGGCCATCATGCCACGTGCCAGTTTTCTGGCGTCATTGTTACTGCTTATTTCAAGATGTAACTCATTATGAGCTTTATTTTTAACAAACAAAAGCTGCCAATCATGTAAGTGTCTAATCATGGAACAACATTTCTTGGCACTGTTAATGGAATTCCTAAAGGAGTTGTGAAAGTTTTCACTGTATATAAACTAAGAGACTACTTTGGGTACTTGAATGTAATAATAAATAAATTCATGTTGGAATTTACTTGCCAAATGTCTCCACATGATGTGGCAAAGATGGAAGCCTGGCGGCGAGAGTCAGTGGGCCTCCTACAGCTCAGGGCCCTGGCGGCGAGAGTCAGTGGGCCTCCTACAGCCCAGGGCCCTGGCGGCGAGAGTCAGTGGGCCTCCTACAGCCCAGGGCCCTGGCGGCGAGAGTCAGTGGGCCTCCTAGCAGGAGGCATGGTGGTAGAGACCTGCGCGGGACGGATTCTTCAGTCCCGCTTCTGCCCGCAAAATCCCGTAGGTAAACATATAAGTAGTTTTATTTTTACTGCTTCTTCCTGCTACTCTGTTATTTGTTTCACTTGCTTCCCTTTTGAGTATATATAAAAAAAGAAACGGAAAATAAACAAATATGTTTCGTTTTATTTGAGTTTAATTAAATGGAATGATGAACATGGACACGAACGAGGAGCTTTTCAGAACATGCCATCCTGTCCAAGCACCAGGCTGATTCCTTCTTGGGGTGTCCGGTTACGTCCCCCCGGCACTCAGTTTCTGTAAATTATTTTAATTTAGTCGTTCTTGTTGCTTTTGTACAGTAGATAAGAGTATTTGTTTTTAATAAATTAATTTTAAGATAATTCCATTTTGCGGGAGTCCCGCGATTAATTCTATTCTCCCGCAACCCGCACATACATGAGGATCTTACCGCCCGCACCCGCATTCACCCATCAAATCTTGTCCCGTGCCGCACTCGGTGCGTTGGGTCCCGTGGGAGTGCAGGTCTCTACATGCTGGTGCAGTAGTTAGCACTGTCACCTCACACCTGAGGTGTGTCTGTGTGAGTGAATGGGGTGTGTGCGCCCTGTGCTGGGTTGGTGCCCAATCGTCATTGTTCCCTGCCTTGTGCTCATAGGCTCCAGATCCCTTACAACCCAAAATAGGACAAGTGGTTACATGAAATGCATGGATCTACTTACATTTCAGCCTTAAAAAAAAAAAGCAGCAGCTTAATGATTTTGCATCAATTTTAGTTGCATCACTGCTTGATCCCTCACGGCCCTTACCCATATTAGCCGAGGGCCCCCCTGCTTATGTTGCTGCATGATGATTTGTTTCAGCCCCAGGACTCCCCACATGAGACGCACAAACACAAGGAAGCCTCTAATCATGTACAATTTGGTTTATTTCACTGAAACCACAGGTCATGTGATGCACGGCACAGTCATCAGCACCGGGACTCGGGAGCTCGGAGCCGCCTGGGATCCAGGTGGCCGGAAGCGACCGACTGCTTCCGGCACCATACTGCAGAATCCCTTTATCGGTTACATCACAGTGCAAAACGAAAGGTTCTGGTTATTTCGCACACGCAAAGCCCACCCATCCCCTGCCAAAAAAATCATTTCCTTAGGAAAAGATGAAATGGTGACTTTGAGCTTTCGTCATTCAACATTTAAACAGTTTGCTTATAAATGGCTTATTTTATAGACTTGAACGCAGCAATAATATACATAGCTATTATATAAATTTCTGATAAAAGTTCTGATTACTCTCAACTGGAGGGCATGCACTGCAGTACATTGATATAAAACTATGACATTGTACACAAAGTTTAAAAGGGATGTGAACACCCTTTTTAGACGTTCATATTTATGGTCGGAGGCTAAGCGAAGCCCCCCCCCCCTGCAGTGAGGTCAGATGGGGGAAGGTAGACACGGTAGACTGGAACTGGCTGATTTCCCACTTTTCTCCTTTTAAAAGTCCATTAAAACATGCTCTCTCTGTCAATTAAGAATAATCTTTGTAATCATATTTGATATCCCTTTGCCCTTCCCTTCTCTTAAACATTTTATTTTACATATATTTTTTTTTTTTACATGCACGTCTTTGGAAGATGATGTGCTGCTCACAACACACATGCACAACACTAAAAGAAAACCTCTGATCCTGAATAGGGTTTTTGCGGGTTTACACATCCCGGGTTTTTGCGGGTTTACACATCCCGAGCTAGAGAGAGGGGGGGAGGAAGAGAGAGAGGGAGAGAATTAGGGAAGAGAGCAAAAATTGGAGCACAAAAAAAGCACATGTGAGTGAAAAGATGAGAGCGGACCCTCACAGAACATTCAGAGTCACGTGAGAAGCGCCCCTACATTCCGTGTTTTCACACGGAGCCCGTCGATCAGCAGCTTTATACTGAAAGCTTTGTAAAAAAACACACGGGTGAAGTTATTCTTGGTTAAAAAGGTTAAATATATTTGTGCAAACATGCAGCACTGGTTAAATAGTGGTTTTCCTTTACCGCTGAGGGTGTCTAACGTAACACATTTAAGGAGCTGACAGACCCTGGCAGCTAGAGGGCGCAAAAGTCCCTAATGAACTCCAACTCCCCGGAGAGTCAGTCACAGTCTATTTATCTGATAATCGCTTCACTGTGCGTGTGCGAAAACGAAAACAGAAATTCTACAAACTATTTCTAGAATCTGTGGTGAATATACCTGCAAAAAAAAAAGAAAAAAGTAAAGTAAGCTGGATGTCTCCCCGCAAAGCCGCAGCCCACAGTGTTCAGTCGCGACCTTGACTGGTGCCCCAGTAAAGGAGTTAAGGAGCACTACGTCGCCCTCAATCGTCAGTGGCCTGTGCTTGTTTACACTCAGCTGCAGTGTCTTAAAAAGCAGAAAAAAGCCTCTGGTCAAACCCAAGCGAAGGCAGAAGCCAAAGGCAAGCCACCCCCCCCTGTCCCCCAGGTACTAAACCTCACCTCTACAGGGAGCAGAAAACAATGGTGGATCAGGCACCTGATCAGGCACCCATGTGGCATGAGACGAGAGAGAGGGAGCGAGGAGTGCCGGTATGCAAAGGGGTCCGGCCATACGGGGAAACAGAGGGCAAGGCAGGGAATTGTGGGAGAATGGAGGTATGAAATAGTGCACGAAGGAAACCTGAACAGAACCGCAGTACGGCAGATGAAAACCAGCGCAGCCGCAGGGGGGGGGGGGTGGCATTTAACGCAGACTCCCCCATGTAGAACAAGGTTAGTATAACAGCAGAAAAGTATAACCTCTTAAAACCCTCACACCTGCAAATACCGCTCCAGTGTTGTGCAAACATACATTTTTACTGCATTTCAAAGGAACATTGATCACAAGGAGCTCCTGTCAAGGTGAGGATGTGTCATCATATACACACACACACACACACACACACACACACACACACACACACACACACACACACACACACAGAGCTACAGACCACAGTACTTGTGCTCAATGGTTTAAAATAGGCAGCAGCTCGAAAACTTTCACAATTCAAGTACAGTATGTGCACAACTATTTACAGTTGAATAAAAAAAAAAAAAAACAGGATCAATTTCAGCAGTGCCACACATAAGATAGAGGCGAAATCTTAAACGCAGACTCAGTGAGTACTGTCCTGTAGTTGGGACTGTGTGGTTTTAAGTCCCTATTTTACAAAGCAGGATATCGCTATCAACACCCGTCTCAGTTAGGCTTTACAAAGCAGGATATCACTATCAACACCGGTCTCAGTTAGGTTTTACAAAGCAGGATATCGCTATCAACACCCGTCTCAGTTCGGCTACAGCCGCACAACTTCTCCCTTGTCCCTTGGCCTACAAATTCTTCTTTTTTTAAATCAATACATTAAAAATAATAAAGAAAACAGAGACAGCTGCTTATTTCATTTAGTACATCTAAGGGTATAATTCAGTTTCAGGGGAATAGAGTGATGGAAGAATGTTTGCGGTCATAAAAAATGAAGAAAAAATAAAACATTAATGAGCATTACTGAGGTAGCTGGGCTCTGCCAAGAGTAGGAAAGAAAATGTGTGTTTAGAAAAAACACCCCCTTACATTTCCCTGTGCAAGGGCAGTGGGTGTACACTAGCCACTCAGATGGACAGGCAGACAGACACACATACACACTCTCCTCAGCCTGCTGCGTGGCACTACTCCACCACCTGACAGGGGGCGCAGTTGTTCTGAAGACAACAACAAAACATTAGTAAACAAGAGCAGGGTACATGCCAGTGACTCCTACCTCCCCCCCCCCCAAAAAAAAACCGCATAAAAAAAGTGTTATACCTACATAGATGTTGCATGACAGTCCCTGCCTCATCTATATTTGGGACAGAAGGAAGGACCAAAAAAATATATGCTATGAAATTAGTCATGAGGACTTTTTAAAATACAGGTTTAAAATGGGACAGTAAAGAATCGGCGGTGACATTGTCCAGAGGATCAGCAGGAAATCCCGGCGATGGTCGCTGTCGATGCAAGCGGTGGTTCCGGTTCATTCTGCCGTAGTTGTTAAACCCGGTGTCGTTAATGTCATTAGATGAGTGTTAAGCTCCGCCCACACCGTGCTCATGCCAGTCAGGACCAGAACATGTCTACCACATTAGTGTCAGTACTGTAGAGCCACAGCACCAGGGGTAAGGCCACACCCACGAAGGACCAGGACACACCCTCCATGCAGCCCATCGGCCCACAGGCCCCGCCCCCCTTCGGCACAGGGCACTCTAGCTCTTTACCAGGTTCCAGGTAGTTGCGTGCTATGAATTTGAGCATCTCGTCCAGCAGAATGACAGGTAGGGAGATCTTCAGCACCATCAGCCACTGGGGGACATTCAGGGGGGTGATCTGGAAGATGATCTGAGGAGACAGAGGACAGATAAACGCTGGGCTGGGGGGGACATTGTGTTTACTGACACATCAGAAAGAGCCTATCATTATTATTATCGCTATTATGACTGCCTGTTGCAATGCTATACTAAGGCCATGATCTATACTGGAACTGGTCAGCAGTCATGAAGCCAGCCGTGGCCCTGAGCCCTGAGGTGGGCGAAGCCCTCACCGGCAGCGGCTCCACGTAGAGGATAAGGAAGTGCAGGGACATGGACAGGCAGATGGCCCCCAGCAGCCAGATGTTCTCCCAGGGGGGCATACGCAGCAGGGACTGGTTCTCTGACAGGCTGCGGGAAAGACGGCAGATTGGGCAGGGTCACCATGGGAGAGGACCAGCCCACAGGGTAACCGCGAGTATGACCTTCCTGAAAAATCCACTTCACCGCTCTGTTAAATGTCGGCGGAGCCTCCACACAAGGGGATGGGGCCTACCTGTTGAGAGCATTGCACATCTCGATGGTGACCAGCACAGACAGAGCCATGGTCATGGGGTAGGGAGATTCGAACACCTCGCACTCCAGGTCCTGGAACTCAGGGTTGTCTGGGGAGCACTGCAGGAAGTGGCTCTGATTGGACAAAAACAGTACAAGTGGCCAATGAATCATTTCTTACTTCTTGAAGCCCAATGCCCCATGGCGACCTCAGCTCAAGCCTGTGAAGGCCTTACCAGCTGATACAGGGTGACCCGGGGGCCATCTTCAGCAGCAATGAACCACCAGGCAGCAGCACCCACGGTAGCAGCACCCACATAACCTGGATGGGGGGGCAGGGCACGGCTTAAGCAGGAGGACCCTTCTGGGTGCCTCTCATTTGAAGTGAAATGCAAATGGAATAATGGAATAGAATGGGATGATGCAGCTACACTGGAATGCCTCTTCCTGCATGTCACATCATGCTCTCCTTTGAAACATACATACACATACACCATATGGACAAAGGTATTGGGACACCCATAGTAATTACAGGAATGGGTCACATAGGCCACACCCACTGCTGACATACAGGTGTATAATTAAGCACACAGCCATGCAACCTCCAACATGGCATCAATGGCAGCAGATTGGGGGTCATACAGAAGAGGTTAGTCAGCCCAGCACCGCCACTGGACACCTTTCCAACAAGTTGGTTCTCCTCATTTCTGTCCTGCTAAAGCCACAAGTGAAGTGATTATGAAGTAGAAACATCTGGGCAAGTCCAGCTGTGAAGTGGGGGCCACAAAGAGTCACAGAAAGGGACCTGATCACCCAGCATCAATACCCAACCTGAACGGCAGCAAATCCCACCAGCAATGTTCCAGCATCTAATGGAAAGCCTTCCCAGAGGAGTACAGGCTGTTATAGCGACTAAGGGTCAGTCAGCTTCTTATTAATGTCCTTTGATTTGAGTGAGATGTTGGACAGGCTGGTGTCCACATACTTAAGTCCATATAGTGTATATATAGTTAAAAGCAAAGTTTGAAGTCAGAATGCAAGGTTGGCCATTTGTCTGGCACCCTATTCTGCCTAGGCTGGGATACAAACCAGAAACCTTCTGATCACAGTCACAGAGGCCTAATGCGCATCAGCCTCGTTCAGACACTCACATCCGATGGCCAGGTATCTGAAGAAGAGCCAGCCAGAGATGAGGGGCTCCCTGGCGTTGCGGGGCGGCTTGTTCATGATGTCCAGGTCGGGCGGGTTGAAGCCCAGGGCGGTGGCGGGAAGGCCGTCAGTCACCAGGTTCACCCACAGCAGCTGTACGGGGATCAGGGCCTCTGGGAAGCCGAGCGCCGCCGTCAGGAAGATGCTGGAGGCACGGAGACGGACAGTCAACACACACAGAGATATCCGGGATCCCGCCATGGCATCGTTTCACCTCTTAGTCATTAATAGCCTCATCATTAGAAAATAAAAGTGTTACAGCAGACAGGTTAAACTAACGTAGACACCACATTAGGCACCAGCTTCTGTGGGCACTATTACCATCTCTCTGCCTGCTTTAACCCAAAGCAGGGGAAATGCTAGGATTTTTTAAGCAAGGGGCATAAAATGGGCCAAAATTCATTCAGAAGGGCCAAGTCAATACTGTGTATTGAATTGTTCAGTGATAAAGAAGGAGGGACTTCCGGAGGTGGGGCCAATCAGCTTTCAGCTATGGCCAGTTCCCATATACACCCCTGACCCAGCATCAACCAAATTAGCCAATGAGAAATGGGGTTAATCTAGATTAAAAGGTGCCTGACACTCCCAATGGGAGTTTTTAAAGGATTCTTCCCAGAGACACAGTGTTCAGTGAGTCTTGTTTAATCATACATGGACTCATTCTGTGACTGGTGTGTGTGGCTACATTAATGAGGTTGGCCCACTTCTCCGAACCGGAACGTCTACTGCTGCACGTCAAATGGCCACACGTCGGAAGAAAATTGTGTTGAGCATTCCGGAAGCAGCGGACATCGCCGTCCCCTGCGTGACCCTCACCAGACGACCTCGCCCACATTGGACGAGATAAGGTAGCGGATGAACTGCTTCATGTTGTTGTAGATGGCCCGGCCCTCCTCCACCGCCGACACTATGGTGGAGAAGTTGTCGTCGGCCAGCACCATCTCGGAGGCAGTCTTGGCCACAGCGGTCCCTGATCCCATGGCAATGCCAATCTCTGCCTTTTTCAGGGCTGGGGCATCGTTCACACCATCTCCAGTCTGTAGAGGGCGACAGAGAGTCTGACGTATAAAACAGCCACCCCTGACATCGTCTCATTTGACTGCTAGTATTGATGTGCTACCCTGCATTTTCTACTTTTACTAGGACTACCAGGACCCACCATGGCTGTGATCTCGTTGAAAGACTGCAGGAACTCAACAATCTTGGACTTGTGGGAGGGCTCGACGCGGGCAAAGCAGCGGGCCTTCAAGACGGCGTCACGCTGCCCTTGGGGCGACAGGTCATCGAACTCGCGGCCCGTGAAGGCCATGCCGTTGACGTCGTCGTCCTCGCTGAAGATGCCGATGCGCCGGCAGATGGCCACGGCCGTGCCCTTATTGTCACCCGTGATCATGATGACCCGGATGCCGGCCAGGCGGCACAGCCGGATGGAGGCCGCCACCTCAGTTCGGGGCGGGTCCAGCATGCCCACGCAGCCGATGAAAGTCAGGTCCGACTGCGCAGACAGAGACGGCGTGACTGGGCTGCATCCTATAAGATGCGAAAGGCCACTCGGTGGGCATTGTTACCTCGTACTCGATGAAGCGAGCTGTGTCCACCAGCACCAGATCCTCCTTTTTCAGAGGGTTGTCACGCGTGGCCAGCGCCAAGCAGCGCAGGGTGTCCCGGCCCGTGCCGTACTCCCGGATCACCGACAAAATCTTATCTTTGATGCCCGATGTCAGGGGCACCTTGTTGCTGCCCACACGGATGTGCGTACACCTGTCAATCACGCCCTCTGGAGCGCCCTGCAGAGGAGGGCCAGTACAGGAAGTGTCACTCCCACTCACCGCTGCTTAGCCAATCACACGACACCCAAAGGCGTTACAGGTGCCCAAAGAGCCAACCAGATTACAGGTCTCACGCTACCTTGACAAACATCTTGCCAATTGAGGACCGGGATTTGTTGGGGGTGCAGTAAACAGACATGGATTTCCTGTCTCTGGAGAACTCCAGGGTGAACTCCTTCTTCATCAGCTGCTTTATCACCTGCCAGAAATCAAGCCTGTCAGATACATGTGTGCACACATGGACAAACCAGTGACCTGTTCATAAATTAAATGCTCACATCAAAGGGGAATGTTGACTAAACTCAAGTTATGGGCTACAGAGTTTTACAGTTAGGGGTAGCAATAACCAATTAATCTGAGCCACTTTTTTGGGGCAGGGGGGAGGCTATTGTTACTGGTAATCATCATTCTTATTTTGTGGTAAATTATATTTCCTATATTTCTCGAGATGGGTGAATGAGTCAACCCCAAGTCCTCCACCACAGAAAATGGCTGCTCGTCCAATGCAATCGTGTCCATTATTTTAGTGGTTGTGTTTATAGTTCTATTGCTGCTAACTTTTAATATTTAAGAAATTTAAAAATAGGCCGGCAATAATTGGCCAAAATTGACACATCGGACCAATATCAATATATGGTGCACCTCCAACATCAATATAGGACAGACACATTAAGATCAGACACGTTCAATTTTCAGAATACATCTTTAAAATGAAAACCAATTAAAACAAATCCACAAAAAACTAACGCTGGATTTCAAATGAAAACTGAATTTAAAAATTAAAACTAAATTTAAACATCACAATTATAGTAGCACTGCCTCAACCAGACTAAAACATGTGCATTAGGCAGACTGTTGTCTCCAAGTCACCCATAGCATTAGCCGTCCCCGTGTTCATACGTGCTTTCCGAGACGGGGTCCAAAATCACCGGAACCCAGCCCAGGACAGATTAGCAGTTATAAAAAGTAAACAGACATCCATCAGTGGTCTGGCTACAACTTCAATGGCCGTCCCCAAGCCAGCATGACCGCTAAAAGGCCTCTGCGCCAGCAGGCCGCATGCCGGCCTGAGCACGTACCGAATTGCAGGCATTGGCCCTCTCGATCTTGGACAGGCCCTTAATGTCGGTGTCGAACACGTTCATCTTCTCCACCAGACAGGTGAGGGCAGTCTCGGTGGCCTCCCCCACCTTCTCGTACACCCCCTTGGCCTGAAAAACACGCAGGTTTACCATCTGATGCTAAAGCAGTGTCCGACTGATCTCACCAGCAGGGGGCAGCGTTCTTGGCAGAGACACTTGCCTCGTTAAAGTCCAGAGAGGAGTCGTTGCAGAGGGCACAGATGGTGGCCAACTCCACCAAGGCGTCATACTGGGAGCACTTCACAGACCGGTTATCATGGAACCTTCACGGTGTAAAACGACACCCGTTGTTCAGACAGGGGCGTGGCATTCAATAGACACATATTCACATCAATCCCGGCATTCATCACCTGAGGCTAACTGACCTCACAATGAAGCAGTCAGTGAAGCTGACATTCTATAACTCGCTACCAGGTCAGCAGGAAGCGTGAATATGCGTACGGAGCATACGGCTGCATAACTGGGGGTATGGCTCAGCGTACGGGGCTTACGGCTTAGCGTGCCCAGTGACGCCTGCAGAAAACCTTAACTGGGAAGGCCTTTAGGGGGCAGTTTTCAAAGGGGCCACTTATGTTTTCAGAGGCTACTAGGGGCTAGTAACATTTTCCATTTTGTTTTTATTATTTTGTCACCCCTTAGGGGCAAACAAAATTTCCGGGCTGAACACAAACCCGAGGAGTTGGGCTACGAATGCGAGACGGACGGTGACCATTAGCGTGCCAGTACTCACACTTCTCCCTCTGGGGCGTACGTGGAGCCAGTGATGGTGAATTCATTCAGGGAGCAGCTGTCCCCTTCAGCCTTATCGATGACGAACATCTGGAACCGAAATGACATGTGGGTTCAGCACAGAGAGAAGGCCCACAAGAACGGAAGGGGGGAGGGCGGGACAAAGTGAAAGAGAAGGAATGGGCCTGAGGAAGAGCAAAGGCACAGGGAGTTCCTCAGGAGCGAGACGGTGAGTGTGGGACCAGCGATTAGTCAGATGGGGGGGAGACGGAGTGACACATGCCGAAGAATGACTGAAAGAACATAAAAAAAAAAAAAATACAGCTTCCTCCCACATCAGAGGGACAGCAATCTACCAAGACTGATCAGGGAGGGCCAGAATGGCACTATACAAGGTAAATGTGTTAGTAGCAGAGCTTCTGAAGTCTAAAAAGCCATAAGGACGGCCGCTGTGGCAGGATTCCCAGGAGGTGGGCGGGCTTACCCGGCACACGGACATCTGATTGGTCGTGAGGGTGCCCGTCTTGTCGGAGCAGATGACGGAGGTACAGCCCAGTGTCTCCACAGAGGGCAGGCTGCGAACGATAGCGTTTTTCTTGGCCATGCGGCGCGTGCCCAGCGCCAGGCAGGTGGTGATGACGGCCGGCAGGCCTGTGGGCGGAGCGGCGAGCAGGATGTTAATGCCCTGCTAATCAGGTGCTGAGTTACTTATGCATTTATAAGCATCTAGCATGTATATCGTGTCCGCATACCCGTGGATATGCACTTACAGATATGTGGCGTATACATCACATTCATAGACCCACGGATGTGCATTAATAGATATGTCATGTATACGTCACATTCGTATACCCGCAGATGTGCGTTTATAGGTATCTGGAGATATATATCGCATTTGCATACCTGCTGATGTGCATTTAAAGGTATCTGGCCTATGTATCGCATTTGTGTACCCTTGGATGTGCAGTAATAGGTATCTGGTGTATAACCACTCCTCATTTAGTGACCTGGCAACGTACGCCGGAGTGAGAGTAACACTGACATAATTCTAAAAGAAATGTATCTGGGTGAGACAGCAGTAAGCAGTAATCTTTGCAGCATGAAGCACAGTTGCAGTCACTCCTAGGCAACCATACATTTCATTTAGTGACCATGTTGTTTAGTGATCCAGGCGTTGGAATGAAACTATTGTTAATAGTTGTATATATTACATTTGTATACCCTCGCATGTGCATTTATAGGTATCCAGCGTATATATTGTGTTCGGTTACCTTCGGGAATGGCAGCCACAGCCAGCGCCACGGCGATCTTGAAATAGTAGACGGCACCGCGGATCCAGGAGCCACCGTGGACGGGGTCGTTGAAGTGGCCGATGTTGATGATCCACACGGCGATGCAGATGAGCGAGATCACCTTGGAGAGCTGCTCGCCAAACTCATCCAGCTTCTGCTGTAGGGGCGTCTTCTCCTGCTCCGTGGAGGCCATCTCGTCACGGATCTTGCCGATCTCTGTGTTGATGCCCGTGGCCACCACCACGCCCACAGCCTTGCCGGCAGCGATGTTAGTGCCCTGGGAGAGCGGCACCATAAAGTCAGGAGCAGATTGGATCCCTGACACAGTACCAACACCAGGTCCAACATAACCGGAAATCAACCTCCATCACAGACCCCCCACCTGCCTAAAAACCTATGGTCTCCATTCCTGAAATATAACACCTGGTTCTAGAAAGTGCTGCAAAAGTATATAAACTGTACACAGCCATTTGTGGAGAAGCAGACTCACGCCAGGGATGACACTGAAAGCCACCTGCCAGCACAGACACTTACAGAGAAGAGCATGTTCTTCTTATCCTGGTTCACAGCACGGGGGTCGGGCACCGGGTCTGTGTGCTTGATGACAGACACAGACTCTCCTGCCCCAGGGGAGAAGAAAGGGTCAAAGCCATCAACAGGGACCCTACAGCGTGTTTAAGCTCCTACAGCGTGACCAAAAAGTGCAAGTACGCTAATAATGGAGCATCTGACACTGAAAACACAGATATTGAAGGACTGATGATCCCCACCTGTCAGGATGGACTGGTCTACCCTCAGGGTGGTGGACTTGATAGAACATAGGCGGATGTCTGCAGGCACCTTGTCTCCCACTAGGAGAAACACAGACAGACACACGCTTGAATCTTGAATCTTAACCTAGCCCTAACCTTAACCATAAATAACCAAATAAAATACAGCCTTTCCCCAGGTTACGATAGGGTTACGTTCTGATAAACAAGGTGAAAATATCGTACACCTAACCTAACAAACATCATAGCCTAGCCTAACCTATGTTAAACATGCTTAGAACACTTAGAATACCCTGCAGTTAGGCTTTGTGTTAGTGACTTTGCCCATTTTATAATAAAATGTCATGTTATTTACTGAATAATGTAAAGAAAGTGAAAAACATTTACCCATTGTAAAGTCAAAATATCGTAATACAGACCATCGTAACCCAGGGAGTGTCTGTACAAGACTTTTGGCATTTTTAGTTTACTGATTGGAGTAAAAGGTTTTTTAAAAATTTAAGTTAAGTTAAGTTATCCTTGTGGTCAATATAACAGGTTTTTTTAAATCACATTGTGGGGACATTTGGTCCCCAGAATGTAGTATATACACATTACCCACACACACGCACACTCAGACAGACAGACACATTCACGGCTCAGACTCGATGGCACACTAAAGCAAGTTAACGGCACTTCGCCAGTTCAAATCCCAGGGTCAGCATAGTGATTTCACTGCTGGGGCCCTGAGGGGGGGCCCTTAACTCCCAAAAATGTACCCTGTTTGGATAAAAGCACCTACTACATAAACCAAACATAATGGGCTTTATCAGACCGTACAGACACCTGCTGCTAGACCAAGCGGGCTCCGAAAATAAGAATTACGTCAGTCGCGTGTCCCTCATCCCACAGCCGGTATGATTATGCTGTTAAAATGGCCAAGAAACATCAGCCTTGGGTAGATTCTGCTAACGTGAAGTGGGCGATTTAAGTCCACACCATTAGTGCCCCAGAACGCCCACCCCACGGAAAGGTCCGGCGCTGCGCTTTCGCTGCTTGCAGAAGAGAAAACGAAAGCATACTGGAGGAAGGGACTGTTCCTGATTTCGCCCACGGATGTAGGCGAGAGGTTAGGAGAGACAGAGAAGGGTACAGGATGCACACAGGCAGACACACATATATGTTTGCATTCATTCTGGGGACCGTACATTCATTTCTATGGGCACAACCCTAATCCCAGCCCTAACCTTAACCATAAGTAACCAAACAAACTGGAAGGCTTCTGCCATTTTTAGTTTTTTGATTGCTGTCACAGATTTTTAGAAGATTGAGTTTCCCCTTTTGGTCCCCACAAAGTCAAAAATCAGGTATTTATCAGATTGTGGGGACATTTAGTCCCCACATCAAAGGACACCGGAGGCGTCAAAGGCAGGGAGAAAGACACCTTCCACAAGCCGCTGAGGGGGGCCAGGCCCAGCCACCAGGCCCAGCCACCAGCCCCAGTGGATGGGCACACCTACCATACCCATGCCCTCGGACAAGACAAGAAAATAGCACTGGGGTGGGGGGTTACAATAGGCATGGCCAAAAATGGGCAAACTATGTCAATGCGTGTCCCCGCAACGGCGGTCAGGGTTTAAATGTAGACGGATCAGCTACCAAGCCAGCTGCCACCCTCGTGCCACATGTAGAAGGGCGTCAATGCCGACGCGGGCACAAATGGGGCACTACATCCCCCCTGCCCCCTCAGGTGATATTTCACATCCATTATAGCGCCAAACCCCACTGTTAGCTCACCTCACCCAACACCTCCTCACCTCAGACGCCCCCTGTGGGACAGTCAGCTGAAAGGGCATTTTTTTGCCTGGGGGGGGAGGGCACAGTTCAAGCCACAGATGGGGGAAGCAGGATAAGCCCACAGGACCAAGAACCGAACCGTCCAGATGCAGATGGTCCCTCGAGTGCAGCCAGGACTGAGACAGGCAGCACTTCAGACAGTACAACAGCATGACAAATGAGTTTAAAAGCCCCCCATGTGCAGTGAGGCGGGGGGGGGGGCGTGTGAAACGGGCCACATTAGTGCCTGTTGAAATCAGACTCGCAAAGGGCCCGCGGCAGCCTGCTTTAGCTACACACTTTCTGAGAAACGGGCCCGGCTTCCCGGCACCGCCCCTTTCCAGTCCATTCTGATCCAAGGGCGGCGCCGGTATCTGCTGTGCTAACAGCGCCGGCCCCACCATCACGGAGCAGGCCGCCAGTCGGTAACGAGGACTGGGGGGGGGCACATGATGTCACGCCCAGGGCAGGCTAATCCGGAATGTCCCACGAGGGAGTAGATGCACGTTACAGGGTGTCCTGATAGACCGCACAGCGCGCACACACACACACACACACACACACACACACACACACACACACACACACACGGTCATCAGTGTGATGGTCGATAGATACACTGTCCACTATTGCTCCCCACAGAGAAGTCAACCCACCCTACTCCCAAAGAAAAGGTTATTCCCTCTGCAAATGGATACTTTAGTATGATACTAATGGCTGCTTTAGTATTAACTAAAAACCCACCCTATATTACTGCAAAAATTCTGCACAGGAAAGTGTGAGAGGTTGTTGGGCAGGTGGAATAACTGCAGTACCCTGCCTAACCACAGGGGGGCCACTAGCCTAACTGCCTGATAAGATCTCAGAGGAAAAGGGCCCGAGGCGGCAGAATCATGACGCCGGTTAACACCAGGGCGTCACCCATGTTTACGCCATTTCCTTAACTGGCCCCTTCAGCCATGCGGACCATCCAGGACACAAGCACATCTGAGGAACGGGGGCTTATTCCGGCAACGTAAACCCAGGAAGGCTGCCACTGTGCGCACAATTACAGACAAAAGACAGACGTGCTTCTTCCCACAAGCCTGGAGCACATCTCCAGGAGATCAGGTCGGATCTGCCCGAACATAAACATCACATCCTGTTCCGCCGGCCTGCTAGTGCCTGCGTCCCCAGCTTTCTCGCCACAGCGGCCGGAACCATGTTCGGGGACCAAGGCGGCGCGAGGGTTTGGGGGGCGCTGGGGGGGGGAGTGAGAGAGAGGGGACGTCACCAGGCTGAGACGAGATCCAGGCGTGGAAGCCGGCATGTGGGGACTGGATGAACACTCCGCAAGCAGAAGCCCTTCACTACCACGGGGCTGCATGGTCTCTCCGCCTACTCAGCTCGAAATAAGAACACCAGCCACAGTCAGTTCCCCCCACTCAGCCTTTTTTGCTTCAGCTAAAAGCTCTTTCGGCCGTCCGGCACCGTTCCATTTCCTGCTTCACAGGTTCGTCTCGTTTTCCTGCTGAAGGTTCGTCTGGTTCTTCCTCCACCGGCCACACAGCCGTCACGCTTCTCAAACGGCCAAATGAATCGGAGCTGAGGGAACAGCGAATTCGTTCTGCTGTGGAGTTTCATTATCACCCCAAATACTGCATAGTTTAAAAAAACGAATGTGAAGAGTCTTGGGAAGCGGGACGTCAAGCTGCAGAGATCATCAGAGACCAGGTGACCCAGGTTCAAGCCTCCAGCACGATGGAGGAGCCCGAGTGTCCCAGAGGGACGGGGCTTGGCCTGCCGGCTACCTGGCTGCCCCCAGCACCTGCTCACCGCGGCCAGGAGGGCCGAAATGCCACATGCTGTCACAGATGCCTGGGATCTCCGTCCACGGGAGGTACTGATGGGACAGCGATGGGGGAGGGGGGGCAGTCGTGGTCAGCTACCACTTCCCTACATGGTCATCTCTCTGTGAGGATGATGGGGGGTGGGGGGGGGGGGTAGGGGGTCGTTCTCTTGCCCCCATCTCCACCCCGAAGAGGACATACTGACCCGATACCTGGAAACACGCTCGCCCACCCCCCACCAAAGAACAGCTCGGCCGCAAGGTCATGCAAGTACACAGGGCTGCGATTGGGTGGCGCACTGCATTGATGCCCCCCTGAACACTGGCTTATTCAGGCCAACGAAAGTGAAGGTCAAATGCGTATGACGGTGAAATGTGGCCCTGCTGAAGCTTCTGAGTGACGTCCCTGTGCACCGCCGTGCGCCTGCTCTGTGCGACGCCCCCCCGCCCCACCTCCGGAGAAACTGACTCATCACAGCGAATAAAGTCCCCCGCTTCCTCTCTCCACTGCTCCCCCATTAATGACACCTGCAAAACAGCGAAGGATAGATCAGGTCACACTCCTCAGATGGCTGCTGACGCCGCTTCTCCAGCAGGGGGCGTGGTGAAGCCCAAAGCCGCGACTTCGGGATCAGTGTGGCAGGATGCTTATGTCACAATCAAGTGTGTCCTTGAAGTGCACCCCTCAAGACCACGTCAGTACAGTGCAGAGGCTTACGTCAGGCGCTTATGAGCTTTGTACACGCACAATTCTGTCATATCCAAATCCATTTTCTCATCTCCGGTGGTGTGGTGGGGGGGGGGG